CTTCGGCATTCAACGATGGCGGTATAAGGTTTTCCAGATTATTAGGTAGATGATAATTACTCAGCATCTTTTTCTTAGTCTCTTCATTAAGACCTTTACACAGAACGTCTTGCCATCTTAAGGCAAGGTCTTTGTGTACAGGTGGCCCCAGCTCGGGGTCGTTTTGTGGAGTATCACCCAGTAGTGCCAATATGGATTCATCTAGCTCATTATCTTCAGTGTTTGGAACTACGGCAGACGGTGCAGCAATATCGGAGTTAGGGTCGGCAGCGATTGACGTATACATATTCAGCGAAGGCTGGTCCTCTAGAGATGACTCAATAAGGTCAACATGACCTGGCGCGTCAGTACACGCGGGCGTTGCTGTAGGCACGATTGGACTTGTGACGGTATCGGTACATACCGGAACCGTCTCATCCATACTAATATGTGAGATGCTGTCGGCGTTATTTGAACTTGAAGAGAGGCGCATAACACGTCGTCTACGAACAAGTTTCTTTTCCAACTTCTTAATTTTCTTCATAATCTCGTCGTCTGTTTTCTTCAACTTCCTTTTTCTTCCCATAGCGACGCGGTAAGTATTTTATTAAAAAATAATATAATTAAATATTATATACTGTAGACTTATTTAAGACGTGCGAAGGCTTGAGCACGGAAATGTTGAATGAATAATATTCACAGCGCTCGCCCAGAGGTAGACTAGAGGAGGGGAGAAGTACCCTCAAATATATATATATTTTTTTTTTCTCTCTAAATACCGTGCAAGGCTAACAGTTGGAGGTGTTGCTACAATTTGTTAACATAAATCGCTAAGAATGAAGCTGTAAAGCATAATTACATTGTGAAGATTACATTCACAATTATCGAACAGTGTGAACCAATAACTATATCATTTCAAGAAATCATAAATCAATCAGAACACGAGCCAGAAATATTAATCAAAGATGGACTTTACAACGGTAATTGGGATGTATCAGCACGTTATACAAAAAAAAAAGCGCAGTCAGAACAAAGGAATTTGAAATTGGAATGTGCACTACGCCTCACACTGTTACGGAAATACTCCAGACAAAACCTGCCTGCCCCCGCCTGTGCGATGCGTCAAATCTTTGAACACATTTAAAAGCAAGTACAAATTAATATTATTAAATCAAGCTCTGTGATTTTAACAGCATTTTACAGTAATACGGTATAGTAGAAAAGACATACTCCGCATATACATACACACCCATTTCTTACCTGCAAAACCTTATTAATATATAGTTGATTTGTCATTGCCGCAGTTTTTATTCACTCACTAGGAAAAAAGTCTTTTGAATACACATATTATACATTATACATTATAATTATTCATTCATCCATATCCTATTTGTTTATATATTTAAACATGTATGTAGTCTATTGTATTAAATTAGTTAAATTTTCTGCACATTTATCCGTGAGTCACTTATTCGGGGTTCCACTGACCATAATGCTGAGATGGGTCCCTTACACACACATCAGTACACAGTGACTGGACCGCAGTGGTGGATATGCATTTTTTTTTTCATTTTTATCATTGTTTTTGGTATATGTGTATATATATTATTATTATTTTCTTTTGTTTGATTTTCTTGTGCGCTTTTTTTTTATTTCATTTTTTTTCTCTTAATGATTTGTATTGTATTTATTATTTCTATTTATATGTTATAATAACTTATATGCTGCTGTGAGCATAGTTATTGTTGTTGTGATGTGTGATAGTAATAAATATTATTCTATTCTATTCTATTCTACTCTAAAACCTATAAACCAGAAGCCTAAGGAAATAAGGAACCAAAAAAAAAAAGAATCCAAAGAAAGGGAAAAGAACATGCGAATAGAAAGAGGCATTCAAATAGAGGTGGGAGACAAAATATTTAAAGAATATCGCTGCAAGATTAATTTTAATAATGACAAAAATGTGTCCTGTCCCGATGATACTGCCATTGTCGTCACCGTTGGCCTACCTGGAGTATTGCAATAGTGCAGTACACCGAGCTTGGTATTACTAAAGTTGCCAAGTGGTTAAAGTACAATCTTCTCACTACTACTAACTGAACACTCGCAAAACAAATTATGTCTGTTTCGGTATTTGTAACAACTCGCAGTCAGAACAGGATTTCAATGCAGAAAAAAAAATGCCGGGATTGTAATTGTTGTTGTATGGTTGTATGGTATGGTGGTTCTGCTGTTTCCAACACTGCGTCTGTATCGCCGCGAATTGTGTGCAGTTGCCCAACTATAGCCAGAGTGAGTCATATACAATATGTATGGTGGATATGCTCAAATTGAATACATTTTCACGTGAATTATGACGTTTATTTGGACATTCAAAACACTGAGACATGTAGTACCAAGTATAGACACGGATCCTACACGACACACCCAAAACAAGAAACTTTTTAAATAATAGATTTACTACACTATACATAATGATGAACTGTATTCCTGTATGGGGCAGCGCATTCAAGTCATGTTTCCTAGAAATTGAAAGAGCGCAAAGAGCTCTGCTAAAGATAATGTACTTAAAAAAATCGATGATTTCCTACAAATAAATAACAAAAAGAAACACTTTATATGACCCTGCTATCTATACATATAAATAAAATTGGAGTGTCTGTTTGTAATATTGAAATAACTGTTTTTTACTACATGCATATGAGTATAAATACAGTACATATACCAAAATAACATTTTTTACTGTTTTTGTTTGTCCGTCTGCCTGTTTGTTCTGGCTAGTCTCTGAAATGGCTGGGCCGATTTTGACGGGACTTTTTTTGGCAGGTAGCTGATGCAAGGAGTAACTTAGGCTATTTTGTTTTAAAAAAACTCTAATATTTTAGAATAAATAAAGCTACATTCCACGCGGACGCGGACGTAGTCGTGGGAACATGGCAAATAAAATATACACTTAAACCAATGCCAAAATAAACAAAATAAAAAAATGCGAGTATACAATGTCAAAAGCCAATTGCACTATTGTATAATACAATAAATGAAAACATTGCTATAGCCTAAAAATTATCATGATTGTAAAAATGTATTGACAGATTAGATAAAAACATTAAATTACAATGAAACCGAGTTACTTCTGCATCATTATCATTAATGCTAAAAAAAAAACTGTTGTGCAAGACTTCACACACATACACACACACACACTCTGCATTCTCATTTCACACTCCTATATGTATGCATTTAAAATTGATCTATATAAATAAATTAGATTTATATTATAAAATAGATTTTTTGTTCAAAACTTACAATATGAGCCATGAAATTTTTATACTTAAATGGAGGCTTCAATAACAGTACACATGTGGCCTACTTATATACATATTAATACATAATAAAATAGTATTAAACATACATATATATATATATATAAATACATACCTAAAGATACGACATACATAAACACTTTTAATATCAATAATATATTTTATAGCATAGCTCTGTAGCGCATTGCATTGCGCTGGAGTCCCGTCGGCCGCGCCGGCCGCGCCGGCCGAGGCAGATTAATGTAAACAATAAGACTGCAGCGACAAGCAAGTTAGTCGGTTACTGAGGCTACACTGAGGGACGCGAACGTCTCTCGGTAACAAGCTACATGTACATGTTCTCTACATCTGTCTACGTGTCCGTGTTGTCCGTGTTTAGACCATATCATTCTGGACTTTTTATTTTTCCATATTGTTGACCTCTTTCTGTTAATTAATAAATAAGTGTATAACACTATAACACACCTAAACACCAGCCGCACCCCACACACATATTGAATAGCAAATGGAGTCCAAATTACAAACAGATAAAACATACTGTAGAGACAAAGAAAGAAAATAGTACTATTATAGATAATATGTTATAGCAAATAGTCCGAACATTTAAACCTAAATATTTTAAAGATTCGTATTTTATAGACACGTCCGGCCTAGTGCAGGAACACCAATACATTTATCGGGACAGTGAGGCTGTTCTTCTTGCACTTCACTAGTACGAAATCCGATCTAAACTTATTAGAAACTGTGTGTCGCTGCTAAATGAAATAGGATGCAGAAATAATATTGTACTGAGATGGGTCCCCGGGCACTCAAACATTGAAGGCAATGAAAATGCTGACTATCTGGCAAAGTTAGGTGCCAAAACTGTCTAACTAGGCCCTAGAACCATTCTGTGGCGTGCCTCGTTGCCTAAAACTGGGACATCTCAAATTAATAACCAAACGAGAAGCACTGAATCACTGGCAGGAAATGACAGGATTGACACATTCAAAAACCCTAATATCGGGCTACTCGAACAAATGCTCCAATAGACTACTGCTATTGAGTAAAAACAACATGCATGGTGACTAGGGCCCTCACAGGACAGTGCAAATTTAACAAACATGCAAACCTTGGCAAACAACCTGTGCAAAACCAAATTTCTGCAGATTTTGCCAAAATGAAGAGGAAACGCCACTACACATCCTATGTGGTTGTAGCGCACTCATGCATAAACGAAATAATATCTCATGTCTATCACTCTATCCTGAGGAAATAAAAAAAAAGTAACCATCACTCGTAAGAGTATCCTTCAATTCTTGTCCTGACGGGTCTAGGTAGGGAATTTGAAAAGGGCGAGCACAATAGATCTATAGTATGTAGGTCGCAGTGCTACCGGTCCATGCACCTGACGATAGCCCAAACAAAGCAACAAAAAAATTGCGTAGAAATCAATGTTAATGTGAACATGTGAAACGATTTGAATCAATAAATAGATTATTATAATATTATTATAATCATAGTTATACCTATTGTTTGTTAGGCATTGCATATTTAATTGACATAATCTATAGTAATGCCTAATTCGAATCTTTGTATGTATATAGGTTAAGAAGGTAATTATGATAACGTTGATAAATATTAATTATCCATGCGTGTACTTTTGTGTGGTCATCTTTATATATACTGCTTTAAAGCTACAAAGTCAGTAGACTAGACAATAGTCCGAGTCTATACCTCGGTGGCAGCAGTCGTGAGTGTTGTGACCAGCAGCGGAGTGATCTCATACAACGGTCGACCCTACAGGTGAGTCCTCTCCTACTGCGTCGGTACTGTATGGACCCAGATGTGAGTCTCTGGTAACTGGTGTGCGAGGTGGTGAGGTGGGCTCGCAAAAATTATAATTGTTTCTATTTTTAAGTTATGACATGACCACAAACTATATAGAGATGTTATTACGTCTTACATAGAGATCTAGAAATTTATTTTTTATATAGAATTGTCTTAGTTATGATATATAATAATAGGTATATATAGAAAAAAAAATATATAAAAAAAACATGAATTTTCTTTCTAATTAAGAAAATAGTAAATAATTTATATTTATAAAGTGAACAGATTTTTTAGATGTTAAATATTGTTTTAAATGTTGAAATGGTCAAGAGTGAATAGGCCTAGTAGTATATAGTGTCAAAACAAAGAGTGGTACCAGACTGAGTGCATTATATGTAGTAGGTACATGTTACTAAACTACATACGTAGTATGTTGCCCGTACAGTGACCCGTGACCAGGTACACTGCACACACCTTCCAATATGAAATTGGGAATAACTGATGGACCAAACATAATAGATATTTTAAATATAACTTTGTTACTTCTGTTCTTGAGTTTTAATGCAGACGTACTATCCTAATAGTGCATTTATTGGGAGGGCTTTTGAATATATTAAAAACTTGCTATGGCAATCCATAATGTCACAGCATGCGGACCACTTTCATTCATTTATTTTACTTACTTTTCTGAGACGATAACATAACAGAGATTTTTAATATCTATACGTATGTACAGGGTCCTTAATTTATATGATATGTTTTTGTTATATTTATGAAGTTAGCTACTAGTGTGGAGCCAGCTGTTTGCTGCGTGGTAGGTGCCATATCATAACATGATACAGTTGTGGTGGTGTGTCAAGTAGGAACTATCATACGTAGGTCATACGTAGTTGTAGATTGCATACACAAAGGCTGTGCGTCGGTTGCGTATCACATTATCTAATCATCCGCGTACGATGACCGCACCATCACACTCGCGCTGCACATTCCTCACTAATCGACGCGTGTGTGTTACGCACCTCATAATCCCCGCCGGTCCGAGCGGAGTCGCGTGAGAGCACTGATAATGTCGTCAGCTGACTGCTATCTACGTGTCCACTTCTTTGTTTGATCGTGTTCAAGGCCACTCATTATAATGATATGATTATCGTTTATCAACCTTTATACATGGTAGACACGTCTATAATATATAATCTTAAGAAGAAATGGTCAAGTGTGAATAGACCCAGTAATATTAGTATGTATCCAATATATACAAAAATGAAGCCTCATAAATGCGACTATTTTTATAACAATGAATATATTCTTTCCCGGTATTTAATATTTATGTACATAATATTTACCCATTTAGATCAGACCACACAGTGAGCGGCCATATAACGACATTGTCTTGATTTATAATTATAGTTAACAGATGATTACACCGAATGATCACACAGTTGTCTTGTTTAGAAGTAAATTTGAGGAAACATGAAGACAACAAGAGAGGGGGAGTTGGTGGTGCACGACGTGGTGGTGGCGAGCGTGGGGGAGCTCGACGATCCGGAGTACGACGCCGTGGTGGTGGTGACCTCGCAGGAAGTCGCGCTGCCCCAGCAGCTCGAGGACTTCATACTGGCCGCTCAGCTGCTAGACTCCACGCTAGTGCAGGTCACCATCCAATCCATTGACCACTGACCACGCGGGTCGCATTACATTAAACATAGAATAAACAGTTGGTTTTCATTGTTTCCGTCTGAATATTATCGTTGAAAATTGTCTGCAATTGTCAGAATTATGCTTGAGAGTTTTGAAACAAAAAGAGACGTTGAATATTTTCAACATAAATAGAAACAGGCATGACAAGTATCCTTAATCCTTATACTTATCCTTAATAATGTATCTTCCAGATTATACTTTAATGCTAAAGTATTATTGGAAAGTAGAAACATTGTTTGTATGCATTCTTTCTGTTCTCTAAAAAAATTCTAATTTTATCCTCATATTAAATATTTCTCCAAAATATTATGCCGAATCTCATTGTAGATGCAACATGTCCGGTTATTAATGTCATTCTGTTTGTTTAAACGTCATTAATTTAGTTTTTTCTAATTTAATCAACAATTTATTAATCATCATCCACGCGATGTCATTTCTAGTATGTTCATTATTGCATTAAAAATAATAGTATCATCATCTGCAAATATTAAAATAGGATGTTCAATGTATATTTTGAGATCATTGATATATATAATAATAATAAAAACAATGGTCCCAAAATGCTTCCCTGAGGAACTCCGTGATTTATTTGTTTAGAATCTAATGAGTAAGTTATTTCTAATTTTGTTTAGGGAGATATTCTTGTTATTTCCGTTATTTCTTTTCTATCTGAGATAGGATTGTTTTAAATTATGCATATTTCTCCTGACTGCAATTTTTTTTCAGTAGTCGACAAAATCAAATGCCTTTGTCATGTCTACACACAATGCAGTTACTTGTTTTTCTATGTCCATTGTATTATTTATATACATTTTGTAACTTTATAAAGAAAATTATATATGCTCATATTTATTGTTTTGTTTTTCGAAATCCTTTTTATTTGTTTGAAAGTAGTTTGTGAGAAAATAGTTTCAAGAGCATTCAGGCGAATAATATAAATAAAAAATAGAATGTTGAGCAGCGCGCGCTCACTGATGTATACGTTTAGTGGTATAGTATGCGTGTGTGGTGTTGCAGGGCTCCACGCCGGCAGTGCTGCAATGCAAGCTAGTGTCCAGCGAACGGCTGGTGCTGGCGCCCACTGGCACGCTCACAGCCTATGACGACGTCAGGTACATGCCCCGCAGACACAAATACACACACACAGACACGAACCTGCATATAGACATTGTAGTCAATAATGATTACTGGCGATATATACATATTTTTTATACAACAATGTGGCTTATGAACTCTTAAATGAACGGGGGTGTCAAGTGCGCATTGGTGATTTTTATAACTATTGCCATATGTATGAGTGGTGTATGGTGCGTGGTGGTGCGCAGGTCCGTGTACGAGGCGGCGCGCGCGGGCGTGCGGCGCGCGGCGTCCGCAGGCTCGCGGCGGCCCGTCCTCGTGCTGGCGCCGCATCCGCGCTGGCCCCGCGCCGAGCTGGTCGCGCTGCTCGGGGCGCTCGAGGCGCTCTACGTGGTGAGTGGGCCCGTCATCTCATATTATTATATTGCATATATAGACCTACTCGATATCTACAATCACTAATAAGTCGCATTAAGTGAAAATATCCAAACGGTATTTAAAATGTGTCACAAATTCATTAAAAGTAATTTATGTTGGATCGTGACCGAGGTAATTTTCGTTTGTTGGTCATCAGCCGCTGCAAGTCCGCGAGTCGTCCCCGGACCAGGCGACCCGGCTGCAGGGACTGGGCATCTACGGCGAGGCCGTGAGCGTGCCGCTGCAGCCGCTCATCGAAGAGGCGGTGGCACTGGAGGTGGGCAGGTGAGTGCATTTAGCGGTGTGGGAGCGAGGTAGTGAGGTAGCGGCGGTACATGTACTCAGTTACTCACATATGGCGACGTGCAGGGGGCTGGCGCGGGACGTGACGGGCGCAGACCCGGAGCGGATGACGCCGGCGGCGACCGCGCAGCTGCTGCAGGAGCAGTTGGCCGGCGGCGCGGTGTCCGTACGAGTGCTCGACGACGCTGAGACGATACAGCGCGAGTACCCGCTGTTTTCGGCTGTCTCGCGCGCCGCTGATACCGTCGAGCGGCACAAAGGTACCGGCGCCCTCATCACCATTACCCAAGATATCATTACCACCAGACTTCTTTTTAGTGAAATGCCTTTTTATAACTAATGCCAAATCATAACATAAAAAAAAACTAACGGCGTAATTTTATGAAAATAGTACTAAGTGACTAGTAAGTAGTACTAGTGAAAGTAATTATACGATCGATGGAGATGATTCTGTGATACAGTTTATGAAGTATCATATACTTCTTAAATATATGTAAGTTTGTACACGATTGAGTAGTATGGTTGAGTAGGCATCGAGAAAATACTACTAAAAAGTACTATGCGAACGGCTATGGAATACTTCCGGGTATTCAACAGTGGGGACGCACACCGACCTTAGCGGATAATTCCGCTGAGGATGAATCTGAAGCGATATTGTATTAACGTTTACACCGACGTAGTACTTGTGTGTAAGTGTCGTCTACGTAGTTAATTCAGACTTCCCTATTTCCACCTCGCTTTATTGGATGTGTTAGGACTAGATATTCAAAACACACCTAAAATTGTAAGTTGCAAACCAATGTTAACAATAAAGTGTGTACTGTACTCATTATTTTAATATGTTTCAGGTTGCATTATATTTTTGGAATATGTACCCAGCGAGTACGAGAGCACGGTGATGCTAGTCGGCAAGGTACGTCTTACATCCTACGAATCTTAATAGATTAAAAAGTCACTTATTGCTGCAATATTTAAAGCCCAAGGGGCTCGCTCCTCCATATGGGGAAGATAACAGCTAGAAATCTTCATGACAGCAGGATTAATGCTAAAAATAATAAGCTTACAGAATTGAAACGAGAGTATCAAACATTAACAGTGTTCGTAGCGTCACACAATATGCTAGCACATCCTAAAGTTCTTAGATCTACGTGTTTGTCGCAGAACTTAAACGACTGGACCGATTTGGATGATTTTTTGTGTGTTTCTGAATGGTTTGAAAACTCAGTTGGAGTCGGGAGCTGACACTGATTTTCTAGCTAGAAAGAATAGGCTCGGCAGTACGACGTTTGCTGTGTCCGTTAGTACTAGTGTAAATGTAGAAGAGCAATAAATAAGAGTGTTGCAGGGCGTGACGTACGACACGGGCGGCGCCGACATCAAGACGGGCGGCGCCATGGTGGGCATGTCGGGAGACAAGGCCGGCGCTGCCGCCATCGCCGGGTTCCTCAAGGTGCGCACACACACCCTACACACATCCCCTACACAGCCGCTACGACCACACCACCAATAGACTTCAATTACTTTTGACATGGTGTTTTCTGAGTATATTTTGTATATATTTAGAAAAAAAATAATGTACTAAGTATTTTTATTAGTCGTCTAGTGTCTAACACAATTTCTCACCAACTTAGAAGTAGATGGCGCTGTGTGAATTGTCCAGAGATATTATTATTATCTATGTACAAGGTGGGTCGTCAGCCACATACGCTACGTCCAAATATCAAAGGGGGTACATATATTGTTATATGTATGTTTAGGTAATGTATATTAGTAATGTGTGTATGTGCGGTTATGCTGCAGGTGTGCGACCTGCTGCGGCCGCAGCTGAAGGTGGTGGCGGCGTTGGCGATGGTGCGCAACTCGATCGGCGAGGAGTGCTACGTGGCGGACGAGCTGCTGCGCAGCCGCACCGGGCTGTCGGTGCGCGTCGGCAACACGGACGCGGAGGGCCGCATGATCATGGCGGACCTGCTGGCTGAGATGCGCGAGCGCGCGGCCGACGAGCGGCAGCCGCACCTGTACACGGTGGCCACGCTCACGGGACACGCGGCACGCACGTACGGCGCCGGGTACACGGCCGCGCTCGACAACCACGTGGCCGCCGCGACGAAGCACGCGCAGGAACTGCGCGCCGTCGGCACCGCGCTGGCGGACGGAGTGGAGGTGTCGACGGTGCGCCGCGAGGACCTCGCCGCGCACCGCGGCCGCGCGGCCGGCGACCAGCTGCTGCAGGCCGTCAACCAGCCGTCCGTGAACACGCCGCGCGGCCACCAGGCGCCCACCGGGTTCCTGCTGCTCGTGTCGGGCCTGGAGCGCGGCGACGTGCCCTACACGCACCTCGACATCTCTGGCAGCGCCGGCTCGCATCCCAGTCCCCCGACGGCCGCCCCGCTGATCGCGCTCGCCGCCCTGCACGGCCTCGTCAAAAGCATATAACGTCCTCTTCCCCACTCACCTACGGCGAACATTGATAGTACACAGACGTTCAAATTATTTTTATAATACAAATATTGTGATATTTTTATAAATTTCTATTCCATACAATAAAGGCAAGGCAAGGCTAGGAAATAAAGTTCGCCTTTTAAATATATTTAAAAGGCGAACTTTATTTCCTAGTATAATATATACATGTGTTAGTTATATGTTGTTACACCACTTAGAACTCAAGACCAGACAAGGTCTGCACCGATATTATTGATGTGTTTAGATGCATTCGTTTCTGCAACGAAGAGTTAAGTAACACATAATTTGTAATTTATTTATATTACTGTTTTTCTTCCTTCATGATTTGTAATTGCTGTCACACATTAAGGAGCTCTAACTTTAATATATATATATATATATATACACTTTTAGTAACAAATACAGTATGTATATAGAGCCAGCAGTAAAGTACACTACGTTAATTTGCCTAAGAATTATTTTTTATGGAACCTACCAATTCTCATGAAGTGCTATGTACAACATAATCACAAATCTGAAAGCACCTCTGATTTTGTCTCAATAACAATATTCTAAAGAATATTGGGCACTTTACAGCAAAAGCGTTAGCCTCAATATTTAATCTGAGTAATACTGAGTATATCGTCAAGGTCTTTCCGGTAGATCTGGAAAACGGCGATTCCCATATTAAAAAAGGTTACTACCTAGCAAAGATGATCTGACCAACTACCGTCCAATGTTGCCAGCTTTATCGAAACTTTTAGAGCGCATCATCCATAAGCGGCTAGTATAATTTCTCTATCAAAACAGTACAGTAAATGACAAACAGTTTGGATTTCGTCAGGGAAAGTCCACTGAAGATGCTGTAATACTTCTAACGGGTGCTGTTGTTGATCATTTCGATGAGGGTAGGCGTTACATGGTGTTTTGCTTGACCTTGTTAAGGTGTTCGACACATATAAGTGATCCTATATATGTATCTTTTGGAGTTCCTCAAGGGAGTATTCTGGGTCCAATCTTATTTAGTATAAATATTAATGATCTTCCGTATCTCCCGCTCCAAAACTGACTAATTAAAAAAAAATACAATAGCGAAATTTAAGAGCCAATTAAAATAAATTTTAATAATTAACTAAGATGTATTAGGAATAGGGACTCCTTGCATAAAAAGTTAAGGCACTCGCCAGACAATACAGTATTAAAAATCACATATCTAAGATACATAAATTGTTGTACTAAAATAATAAAAAAAGCAAAAAGGCAATTTGGTAGACAAGAATTTTATAAAGTAGGCAAAAATCCTAAACTATTGTGGAATTCTATATGTTAATACTCATAGTATTAACATCGCGCATACTGCCATAATGCGCGCGCGCCGTCCGTATATTGTGCATCTGTGGCGCGTTGCGTTGGGCGCGGGAAAAATACAATCTACAATTTGACTTCTTGTAGAGACATTCTTCAACTATTGTACTTCTGATCACTAATTTTTGTATACTGTTCTTCATTACTACATACAGCTGTAAATTACTATTATTAGAATAAACTTCTTATATACAACCAAAACTGGCATATAAATAAAGCTCCTAATGACACCGCTAACACTATAAAAAGAATAACTTACACATCTAATACTAAACAACATTCCAATAAATCTTTACTTTCCGCGATTACACAATTGAAACGGGTGTTCAGTCGTGTAATGTGGTAAATAAGTACTTTGTTGGTATAGGGAAAGAACTCGCTGATAAAGTTAAAACAAACCTGTTGAGTCAACACCATCCGAGTCCTCATACTGTAGCATCGCTAAATATACAAATATGATAGTTATTGCGTTCGTCAAACAGGTACTTGTTGTCTATTGTATTGCAACGCTCGACAACCGGTCCGTGGTACGTTTGCTGTTTGCTGCCCCCTGCCTCACCTCACCAGCACTCACTTCTGTGATACTTACTACTTACGAGCGCATATACGTCGCTGTTCTTAACGCTAATAGTACCTACCGACTACAACCAGTGTGCAATTATTTTCTTCGAGTGAATTTAAATTCACTATAAATATTTATATAAATTGAAAATAGAATCTTAAAGTGTTCCCATACTGGGTAAGTTGTGCATATAATATTTGTTGCTAATTTATTTTGGACTTAAGACTTGTTGTAAATTTGATGTGTCATAGTAGCTAAGTAAGTTAAAATTTTAACTGATAGTGTCACTATACTAGTGTCATTGTGTGGCTTGCCCTATATAATATTATTATAGTATTGTTTTCTTGCATAGTGAATAATAGTTGATTATAATGCGCAGTGCTTTTGTTAACCGCCTAGTAACCGTTCTGGTTTTAAATTATAACTGCCGCCTTGATTTTCTTCCTCCTTCTGCTGGCTAATTAAGTAGCTATAGAATACCCATAATCCGTAGGTCTGACTATATCTTGCTATTATAAGATCATAATGCAATGATTCGGTATATTACAGGAACACCGTAGATATTGATATAATATAACCACCTACCCGACGACTGGAAACTATATACATATATATACTCGTGAGACTGCATACCGACTTAGCCGATTTGCTGGAGAGGATTGCTGGAAAACCGAGGAGACCGAGGATAGTGGTGTTTATTCTTGAACTGAGCGGACTATATGTTTTGTGACCCAAGGCTTACCCAACCCTGACTTTAAACAACCATTCTTTTATTTTTTTATTTTACTATGAATACATTTTTTTTATAAACTTAATTTGCCGTATTTGTTTTTTTTTTAACATTAACAAACGCGACAATACGCATTCTTCTATAAGTAGTTTGCCCTCCTTTGTGTCACAGACTACTGACTGTAATGAAATTCATTCCACTATTGCTTCTTTAAAAATCACCGTTACCACTGGTTAGGATGGAATACCTACATCTGTACTTAAGAGATACTCTAAAATTCTGGCACCTATTCTATCTCATATATTCAACTCGTGTTTTAGATCGATCGCCATTCTTACATCTTTATCTAAACTTCTTGAACGATTAATAAATAAACGCCTTATTCAATACCTTGAACATCACAAACTAATCTCTAACCAGCAGGATGGTTTTAGAAGTAACAAGTCAACAACACACGCTTTAAATGACTTAATATACTAGGTTGACTAGCATCTAAATAACAAGAAGATTTGACTTTGATTGTGCCTTTGTCGACCCACCTGCTTAAATTAGACAGAATTGAAGTTAGAGGTACCCAGCTGTGGTTATTCGTATGCTATCTTTCTGGACCTTCCAATGTCATATGGAGTACCTCAAGGGAGTGTTCTCGAACCGAACTTGTTTTTAGTATTTATTAACGGCCTCTGTAACATTAAATTCCTTAATGACCAAATTGTTTCTTTTGTTGACGCCACTGTCATTTCATTTTTCGCAAAGTTCTGATCAGATCTACAATTAAAAGTGTGCCTTTAATTGTAGATCTGATCTATACAAGGCTTCAAATAATGCATACGACTGGCTTATCATTCATTCTTTAACTCTTAACACTATAAAATCTAACTTAATTATATTCTACACTCGATTTAATCTATAACATAAAATTCAAATAATAATCCAAGTACATACACAATTACATATCACCAACACACAAATTCCCCCTGTACATGCCCACGAATAAAAACCGTTCAAAAAGACTTTAAAACTTACACAATTTTACTCAACTTTTACGACGACTTGGGTGTCATATTAGACAACCTGCTAAACGTTAAAGCTCAAATTAATTCTTTAACTGCTAGCATTACAAAATGAACTTATATATTTAAATCACTTAGACATATAACCAACCAACATGTTTGACGCACAGTTTACTACAAGCTAACACAATCCTTGATTTCATATGATATTACATGCCGGGGCGGAGCTGCAAAGTCTATCATCAATCCACTTGAAGTAGCTCAACGAGCAGCTTTAAAAGTTGCATTATACATTATTATATTATTTAGCTCTCACTTTATACAACGAAATAAACTCAATGATTGATATTCATGACGTATCTAGTTATCAGGTCAAAAATATCGGACGCGCATGTTTGTTAAACAAAACTTATGACGAAACTGAGGAACTTATTATGCCCCTAAATTTGTAGTAATGGTACACCTTATACACACACTCGTACATACGAACATGTGCCGTGCACACTTGCGTCCTACAACAGCAGTGTCAGTTTTAGCATTCGTATTTCATAACTAGGACTCAAAATTCTCTCATTCTTTGTTTCATAATAATCAAACTAAATGTTCACCTAGAGTATGTAACTGGATGTCCTTCATACAGAGCATTATAATGACCTAGTAAGGACAGCAGTGACATAATTTTCCTTTGAGACTTATGTAAGTAACATGTAACTCCTTGTTTAGGAAATTTATTTTTACAGATATTAGATACTTTAGCATATATGTACATATATTTGAATGAAATTTAATTTGATAACGATGTCAAAACTTTTTTTAGATTTGTTCGTTAACTATGTATTGCAGAGTTCTTAACAGATGACCATTTCATGAACGTGTAAAATAATTACGGGCATAATTGATGCAATGCACTAACATAATAATATGAAATTTTAATTGATTATATGTGACTCGGAATGATTCGATTATTGATTTATATTCTTTGACACGTTATATAAATATTTCATAAATGTATTGAAATTATATAAATTAGTAAAAAAGTTATTAAGTAGTGTGCTACATCGCGTACATTCGACGCGGAGTCGGGACGTAGTCTGACTTTACACTGAACTTAAATCTATGATATGTGGAAACGTAAACAAATGGAAGGGTGCAGAGTGTTGACAGAAATATTACATGTGTAGGCACAAATGTTTTATTATTGTTTTCCTTATTTATTTATATAAGACGTAAATAATCAGTATCTACGGATATATAGCTAATCGGCCCTGTACAGGCAGTGATAGTAAACTGTGGATTCTATGATTATATTGACGCCCTCTGTGGTCCAGTGGTTTAGCACATCACTTTACTTACGATGGTCGCGGGTTGGATTCCTCGCACGGCACAAACATTTATATTCATGAGTATAACTATATATAAGTATATGATTGTTTGTATCGGTCTAGGTGTGTTCTATGTATAATATGTATGTATTTACGAAAAAAAAATCGATGTACCTACATATTTGTATTAGTTATCCAGTACCCACAACACAAGCTTTAGCTAGCTTAACTTAGGTCTATATGCCGCTGTGTGAATTGTCCTGAGATGATTATTATTATTATATTAAACAATTAGCAAACAGGTTCTTTCATTTTACATGGTGTCTGTATTCAGTTGTCGTATATTGATTATCAAAGATAAAATGCACATATTTAATCCCAAATAACTACAAATTATGTATAATGAACACACGGGGGTGGTGGGAGGGAAGTACACAATGTTCACTAATAACCCCCTAACTAGCAATACTGCAATATTTTGTAATACCGTCTCGGTGATTTAGCGGTTTAGAACACCGCACCGCACCGCTTCCTATGGTCGATTCGATTCCACACAAGGTACAAACATGGTACATCATGAGTAAGATTCTTTACTTGTATTGGTATGGATGCTTTCTATGTTTAATAATGTATTTACATCGGTAACTATATAGTACCTATAACACAAGTTCTGGTTATCTTGGGAATAGGTGGCGAGACTGAAATAACCTTTACTCAAATAAATTTAATATAAGTACTTTGGAATAGTCGTTTTTTTTATTCTATTACTCATTCGGAACGCAGACTCATCGAAGACTTACTCAAGAAGAAAGACCAAGAAATTTGGGTGTTGCTCTTTTAAATCAATGCTGTTCAAATCTACATTATTAGGAATTTGGTTTAAATACATAATACTGACTTATAGTAAAATTGACATAAATAAATAAATAGTTACTTCAGTAACAAAATAAATCAGTCCTAGTTATGAGAGTAGACCAGTTCCTACAAGCAGCACTCGTTCACGAGTATAAGGGGTGAGCCAGCTGTCGCGGCGCTCGACCATATTTTAGGGATCCTAACGACTCGTCCCACCATGTCGTCACATGTCTGGACATTTAAGTGAGCATGACTGGCTCATGACACTAAACCATGTCACAACTAATAATACTATGTGGAAGCCATGGTATTCACGCAATACACATTAACAAGAAGAAGGCATGCTACAATTAACGTAGAAGTCGCTACGCACTCAATCCTTATTCAGATAACAGTAGTTAAATTTAAGGTGTTTTTATGCAAAATTATATAATAATTTAGTACTTTTTTTATTGTTTTAGGTTTTCCGCATATTCCTATCGACGTGGTCTGTTGGCAATATGGAAACAAAGAAACATTATCTACATTAGATACTTTTATTGCGTTGTGACATATAAATTAGGTATTTATTTATTACTGTAGGCATTGTAACGTAATTACATTTATACCTATTGTTTGTTAGGCATTGCATATTTAATTGACATAATCTATAGTAATGCCTAATTCGAATCTTTGTATGTATATAGGTTAAGAAGGTAATTATGATAACGTTGATAAATATTAATTATCCATGCGTGTACTTTTGTGTGGTCATCTTTATATATACTGCTTTAAAGCTACAAAGTCAGTAGACTAGACAATAGTCCGAGTCTATACCTCGGTGGCAGCAGTCGTGAGTGTTGTGACCAGCAGCGGAGTGATCTCATACAACGGTCGACCCTACAGGTGAGTCCTCTCCTACTGGTTGTCACCTCTCCTACTGTCAGTCAGTTCTCATGGAACCAGGTGTGAACCTCTGGAACTGGTGTGCGAGGTGGTGAGGTATGCAAGAGATACTATAAGAGATTAAAGTAAAAAAGTGCAATTTGTTTACAATGCACTCAGCTGTCGATTCGTTTTCTGAATCCGTTTGGATCCTGTGTGTAAGTTACAAATATGAATAGTTTTGTATACTTCAATAATAAGAGTCATACCTACACTTGTGATGTATTTATGTTCTTAAACACATATATGTGTGGGTGTGTGTGTCGAGAGATCCGACAGACATTGTCTTGTCTCAGTAAATGCGCCAACTGTCACCCAATATCTGACCAGTTAAATACGCAAATCTAAATTAGTCATTGAGTATTCTTAAATTTTGCAGTTTTCTGTAAAATATTTATTTTATTATTATAGTATTTATAAACAATAAAAATTAGATATTGGTTACGTAGTTTTTAAATTATGTCATGACCACAAACTATGTACATAGAGATGCTACGCGCGACATGACAATGGTAAATATAGATTTATTGTTTGATATTGTGCTTTATATTAGTTATATATAATAAAATAAATCTGAAATTTTATGGTCTTGATTTGCAAATTCTTTGTAATGAAAGAATTATAAAGATATAGATACAATAAAATTACATGTCACGAGTGTATGGTGTCAAAAATGTAGCATAGAGACAAACCGGGCGGGCACTCACCGCAGTGATTGTAGTGTGTAGTACAGAAACGCTCCACACACCATCCAATAACCATACATAATTAGGAACAACTGTTGGACCAAACATAATAGAAATTTAATTAAATATAATTTTATTAGTTCCAGTCTCGAGTTTTAATGCAAGCGTAGGTTATCAGCCTAACAGTATATGTGAGGGCTTTTCTTATATGTTTGGGTTTCTTCACGTGCATCTTTGAACATATAAAAAATAATAATGAAATGCTATTCAACAACACCGCAACCCTAGTCCTTATCTAGGATCAATCTAAGGCAGTAATTAATTACAGCAATAATAAAATTTCATAATAATAATAATAACTCAGCATACACTTGAAAATATAGGTGATGGTTTATCTCACACCACACTGTGAGATGTATACAATACATATTTGTATACATAAGTATAATTGTACCTGGTTGTTCTATATGTATATGTTTTTACATAACATAAATTTATGTATTATATCAGTCGTCTAGCTTGAGCTTGAGGAAATAAGTAGATAAGCATAAAGCAACCAGTTTACGGCATGGCTATCCATAATGTCACAGCATACGGATCACTTTTATTTGCTTATTTTATTTATTTGTTATTTTAAGACAATAACAGAGATTTTTAATATTGATATGTATATGTACACATGCAGGGGCCTTAACTCGCGTGGCACATTTTTGTTCTATTTTATGAAGTTACCTACTACTCACACAGCCCCCGTGTACTGGACACAGGGGCTGTGTGTGGAGCCAGCTGTTTGCCTCATAGTAGGTTTGGTGCCATACCATAATATAATTGTGGTGGTGTGTCAAATACGAACTATCATATGGACAGTATCATACGTAGTTGTAGATTGCATACACAAAGGCTGTGCGTCGGTTGCATAGCTGTGTATCACATTATCTAATCGACGCGTGTGTGCTACGCACCTCATAATCCCCGCCGGTCCGAGCGGAGTCGCGTGAGAGCATTGATAATGTCATCAGCTGACTGCTATCTACGTGCCCACTTCTTTGTTTGATCGTGTTCAAGGCCACTCATTATCATGATATGATTATCGTTTGTCATCCATTATACATGGTAGACACGTCACACAATATAGTCTAGAGAAGAAATGGTCAGGTGCCTAGTAGTAGGCTACATTCTTGAAACTCCAAAAAATTATGCAGCTATTTTGAACTAATAATTTATTTAAAATATATAAATAAATAGTATTACCACAAATAACATAATATTATATATACTAATTATAATAATTAAATAAATAGATCTATAATTATAGTCTACAGATGTTTACCTCGAATCACGACATAGTTGTGTTGTTGTTTAGAAGCAGATTTGATTAAACATGAAGAAAACAAGAGAAGCAGAGTTGGTGGTGAACGACGTGGTGGTGGCGAGCGTGGAGGTGCTGAACAGCCCTCAATACGACGCCGTAGTGGTGCTGACCTCGCCCGACGTCGCGCTGCCCCAGCAGCTCGAGGAATTCGTACTCGCCGCGCAGCAACTTGATTCCTCGCTCGCGCAGGTGACCACTGACAGCAGACCACGCCGGCCGCATTACCATTTAAAAAATAGGGCTCTTATAGAATCAGACTTTGGAGCGTATTCGTACAGCGCACTAATCAGTTGCGTTTTCTTTGTTAGCGTGTATTATAGTCAGGAATTGTCTGCACAGAATTGTAATGCAGAGCTTGTTTTTTGCTCTACATGTGATATCATAACTAAGAGATAACAAGAATATTTAGAATATTGTATCTTCCAGATTATACTTTAATGCCAGAGTAGGCTTTATTAGGTAGTGTTTTCAATAAATCAGTGCCCACACTTGTAATATTTCGGTCAACACTTGAGACCCTTCCATTAGTTTACGTCTCCACAAACATAGATTAAAGTTAAGTGTAAAATAGTCCACATTACGACTCCGCGTTGAGTACTCGCGTCTCTAATAAATATTGTAGCACATTACCAATACCAATAAATACTAAATTTAATAAATAGTACAATTATTTACCGGTATACTCACTATCTACATACTACAATAAATAATATATTAAGTAGCGACACCTCATCACATCACAACATATATAACGCTACAGTGGTGAGAACAAAACCACCTCGCTAAAAATCTAATAATATTTTTATCTTATTTTATATGTAAAGGAAATGTATTATTTTCACATTACACGGACATTGGGCAAAGGCCTGAACTACGTAATATTAGGTCAGTTTTCAAATCAAACAGGTATATAATACAACCCACATCGAAGGCACATATATTTCAGCGTCAATAACAGTAGCGGTCGTGTTGTAGGGCTCCTCGCCGGCGGTGCTGCGCTGCACGCTCGTCTCCAGCGGGCGGCTGGTGCTGTCGCCCATCGGCTCGCTCACCGCCTACGACGACGTCAGGTACGTGTCCCCGCAGACACACACACAGACACGACCCTGCCTATAGGCATTTTATTCAATAATGGTTACTGGCGATATATATTTCTTATACTACGATGTGGCTTATGAACTCTTGAAATAACGGGGGTGGCAAATGCACGTTTCCAATTTTTATAATAAATGAATACGTACACTCGTTTTTTCTCCCATCGCTTCAGAGGAGATATGGCCAGCGGTAACAGATGTAGAATTTTAAGTTTCATCTCAATGTGATAAATATACAGAAATGAAGTTTCAAATGATGTTAAATTTTTTGATTAGCAAGCAAATGGCCCGCCTAATGACAAGTGACAATTGGGTCCTATTCTTTGGAAGCGTGTACGTATTGCCTTTGTCCCGCGTACATGACGGTGAGTGGTGTATGGTGCGTGGTGGTGTGCAGGTCGGTGTACGAGGCGGCGCGCGCGGGCGTGCGGCGCGCGGCGGCGGCAGGCTCGCGGCGGCCCGTCCTCGTGCTGGCGCCGCACCCGCGCTGGCCCCGCGCCGAGCTGGTCGCGCTGCTCGGGGCGCTCGAGGCGCTCTACGTGGTGAGTCAACTGTTTATTTATATTCGGACAAACGATGCTACTCACAGTCATCATTGAATATATATAAAAATTACAGAGGCCACTTTTTCAATCAAAGAACGGCTCGCTTGTCATAATTCTCTTCTGAAAAATAGATCTATACTTTATTGCCCCAGTTAATTTATTGAAATTGTTACATGCTCAACACAAATTTACATTGTGTTTTTTAAATAAGTATAAGTAATATAATAATGTTGATTATATAACAAGTTATTAATCGTATTGATATTTGATATAGAAGAGAAGAAACGGATGAATTTTTCTAATCATTTCCTACACGCGAAATCTTCCAATGCTTTGATGTATACTGCAACTCACTGCGCACTGGTGTACAGCAGAATTTTTAAATTTTGCTTGTATGAAATCCATTAAAAGTAATTTATGTCGTGGCTGATGGGGTTTTGATTGTTGGTCATCAGCCGCTGCAGATCCGCGAGTCGTTCCCGGATCAGGTGATCCAGCTGCATCGACTGGGTATATACGGCGAGGCCGTGAGCGTGCCGCTGCAGCCGCTCATCGACGAGGCGGTGGCGCTGGAGTTGGGCAGGTGAGTGCGCCCGGCAGTGTGGGAGTGACGTAGTGAGTAAGAGTTACATGTACTCAACTACTCACATGTGGCGGTGTGCAGGGGGCTGACGCGGGACTTGACCGGCACGGACCCGGAGCGGATGACGCCGGCGGCGACGGCGCAGCTGCTGCAGGAGGAGTTTGCCGGCAGCGCGGTGTCCGTGCGTGTGCTCGACGACGCTGAGACGATACTGCGCGAGTACCCGCTGTTCTCGGCTGTGTCGCGCGCCGCTGATACCGTCGAACGGCACAAAGGTAATAACGCCCTCTTATACCATTGTTCTTTGGCTCCTTCTCAGCGAAAGGAGACAGTTTTATTTGAAATAATCGACATTTTGTAAAAGTACCACTGCATAGGCACAGAAAATGTTAGTAAAAAATTGCCATACAAATAGCAATTAAATGATTTCGCACAAATTGAGTGTACGTGGGGAAGCGTCACTCGGACTTATTGTATCAAGGATTAAACCGAGCTGGACCTAGTAAAGTTTCGCGTGTGTGTGTGGGTACACCAAGCAGCTTACTGTGTAATGGACGGTTGAAGGGTGGAAATAGAGCAGTGAATGTACAGATGCAATATTAAAAAAAAACAATTGTTCCAGATTTACAAAATGGACCTCAGTATGAAAGTACGTTGACAATAAAGTGTGTACTGTACTCATTATTTTAATATGTTTCAGGTTGCATTATATTTTTGGAATATGTACCCAGCGAGTACGAGAGCACGGTGATGCTAGTCGGCAAGGTACGTCTTACATCCTACGAATCTTAATTAATTAAATAGTAACTTATTACTTTAAAGTTCAAAGGAATTGAATTTTGTATTCTCCAAATGGAGAAGACGCCGGAGAGCGATCTTCGAGGCCAGTATGAATGCTGTAAAAAACAAATTCACTGGTGTCAGTATGTCACCAAATATGACTTAGTGAACGATTGACGGCATTACATAATTTTAAGCAAGTGTTTATTAGGGTATTACACCATAAACTATAGTAACCAAATGTTTTTAATTCTACTTCATTTATTATTATATACAAAACAATTGTACATACATCAAATTACTATTTTGTTACGTTTAAATAATACAACAATATATTAACTATGTATTTCTCTCTCGTCAATATTATTACTTTTTTATTTTTTATCACAATTTTGGTGCCAAAGTTATTTCACTTTTTTAATATGGACTACAGGTAACGAAACAAAACCAAACAGTTATAATATTGAGACAATATTCAAGGTGGGATATTTAACAGCAATATTTTATATTGCCTAAAAGGAATAGGCCATGCTTGGCAGGACGATGTGTGCTGTATCTGTTAGTACTAGTGTAAATACAGAAGAGTGATAAATAAGAGTGTTGCAGGGCGTGACGTACGACACGGGCGGCGCCAACATCAAGACAGGCGGCGGCATGGTGGGCATGTCGGGAGACAAGGCCGGCGCCGCCGCTGTCGCCGGGTTCCTCAAGGTGAGTCCACCTCACCGCGACCAGTACCTACCTCACCATTGGCATACTATTATTCTTGACATTTAACAATAATTAGAAACTTCTCTGTACATCTATCTTCGGATTCCTTCCACCGGAGCTGCTACATTTTTACACCGACATATACAAGTTTCTTATTTCTTACTGTCCCAGTGCCTGCGTCTTTTCACATTAATATCAGTTAATCTGTCATACGACATTAGTTTCGCGTGTCCTCTCATTTTTACTTCGATATATTCTTTAAGATATTATTAGTTATCTAGTACCCATACAAGTTCATCTCAGCTTGGGATTAGGTGCTGCTATATGAATTTTTTAGTGTCATTATTCTTAAATTTAATTTATTACTTAAATTACTCTTAATTGTAGAAGCATAACTAATATAAAATTTTGCATGTCTTCATATAAGACGGATTGTATGGAACCATATGTACTTTATAACATCTGTGCACACCACATTTCTCGCAAAATAAAATCATTTCATTTCATTTCATTTCTTAAACGAGTCATCAGCCACAAACGATATGTTCAGATATCAAAGGGGTACATATGATGTTACGAGTATGGGTAGAGCATATAGTAACATGATGAGTGCGTGCTGCAGGTGTGCGACCTGCTGCGGCCGCAGCTGAAGGTGGTGGCGGCGCTGGCGATGGTGCGCAACTCGATCGGCGAGGAGTGCTACGTGGCGGACGAGCTGCTGCGCAGCCGCACCGGGCTGTCGGTGCGCGTCGGCAACACGGACGCGGAGGGCCGCATGATCATGGCGGACCTGCTGGCTGAGATGCGCGAGCGCGCGGCCGACGAGCGGCAGCCGCACCTGTACACTGTGGCCACGCTCACGGGACACGCGTCGAATACGTACGGCGCCGGGTACACGGCCGCGCTCGACAACCACGTGGCCGCCGCGGTGGGGCATGCGCAGGCACTGAGCGACGCCGGCTTGACGCTGGCGGACACGGTGGAGGTGTCGACGGTGCGCCGCGAGGACCTCGCCGCGCACCGCGGCCGCGCGCTGGGCGACCAGCTGCAGCAGGTGGCCTCCCCGTCGTCCGTGGTGGGCGCGCGCGGCCACCAGGCGCCCACCGCCTTCCTGCTGCTCGTGTCCGGCCTGGAGCGCGGCAACGTGCCCTTCACGCACCTCGACATCGCGGGCAGCGCCGGTCTGCTGCCCAATCAGCCCACGACCGCCCCGCTGCTCTCGCTCGTTGCCCTCCACGGCCTCGTCAAGAGTATATAGACCCCCCCCCAGTGCACACATACACGGCGAACCCTGACAGTACACAGGCGTTGATATTATTCTTATAAATCAAATATTGTGATATTTATGTAACTTTCTATTATATACAATAAAGGCATTTAAATATAAGACTAAAATTTCTGAATATAACCATTTCCAAAAGAATATTATTTCCTAATCAACGTAAATATATGTATGTGTGTGTACTTATATATGACAGTTAAGTTATTTACACTTTTTATAACTCAAGACCGGCGCTCCAGCCGGTCTTGAGTTATTATTATTAGGTACTAATGATATTTATTTAGTTGGATTCGTCTCTGCATCGAAAAGCTGAGTACCTAACAGAGAACAAGAGTTAGAAACATACGAAAAGACAGATAGAATTAAAATACTTTGTGTCTATTCTTGTAATATTTCTGTCAACACATGGCACACTTCCATTAGTTTAGCTCTCCAGATAACATAGATTTAAGTTCAGTGAAAGTCAGTCTACGTCCCGACTCCGCGTCGAATGTTGTTACTAATAACATTCGACGTCATGTAATACACTATCAAATAAACTTTAGGTACTACTATACAATACATAGTACAATTATTACACTGTCCATTAGGGCATGCGTCAGTCCTTGGCGACGTGAAAGCCATTTGTCCATTACATCTGGCTAAATATAGTTACAATATTTCGGCATAGATGGCGCTCGTGTTAAGTAATTGAAGCACATTTACTTTTATTATTTATGATTGTTTTCAATGCAGTCTTTAATACACATACGTCAAATCTATACCGGTGTTTTAATTAATAACAAATTAGGAAGTTAAACAAACACTTCTTTGGGTTGAGGTTGTAGATTTGGAGTCGTCTGTAGCCGGACGGCAGAAAAACTTGTAGTTGCGTTCTATATATATTTATCAACATAATAATTAGTAATTCTTACAATAGTACTAGTTAGTGGACACTTATCATTGGCGCTCAAATTTCTCGACCAAAATAACATTTTTTGTCATTTGTCTCTGACCTTTTCGCGGGAACAATGAACTGTCAAACCGGCGGTGTTGCCACAACTGACATTCTCAATACCTACATAATAAATTATTCATATTTTTTGCTATATAAATGCATATTATTATTATTATTAAATAACGTGGTGTCCCTACGTTATTTAATAATATCAAACATCACCAGTGGCGTAGTTAGGTAACCAAGGGCCCCGGGCAAATAAAGAAATGGGAAGAGAACAGTACCCACAGAAAGAATTTATTAGAATTCCGAAGGTATAACTTTCGAATTTCTCTCAACTGAGTTGCCAATATTAAAATCAGGTTGCAACCTGTAATATTTATTTTGAAAATTTCAGTTCGATCGAGATTTTTTTGTAAGATTTCGAGGGCCCCGGGCCATTGCCCCGCCTAGTTCCTAGGTAGCTACGCCACTACTCATCACATCATACCTAACGCTGGCGAGGTGATAACCGCTGCTCTACAACGTAAAAATACTCCAATCCAATAAAATTAGTGCTAAAAAAAGTGTCAGATTACCGTCCTGTTTTAGTAAGCCCGATGCATTTTTTAATTGTACTGTACTGTACAACGTTATATTGTATTAATTTACTAATAAAAGCTATAACAGAATAACAGAGAGTGAGCTCACTGTCCCCTTTGAGTTATAGATCGTTTTCTCTTTTCTTCATTGCACTTAAATTTTATTATAAGCAGCAATTTTATTAGTTTTTATTTGAGAGAAATAAAGATGATGATTCATCAATAATTTACTATGAATTTCACAATTATGGTAATACTATTTATCAATAACAGTCAGTGTCTGAGATTGATCTCGCTACATACAATATATCCCGTCGGTACAATCAAATGCATTGGGTAGCGATGGAGTGTGTACAGATATACTACTCACCATTCCTTGTACTCTAAAAATTACACGTAATTGTAACTAATATAATAAATAAACTTATTGTTACATCAACAGTTCCTTGCCAATGGAAACAAGCACTAGTTATTATTTTATCCAAAACTAATAATCTGCTGGGTTTAGTAAACCTAGGCCATGCCTAAATGGGGCGTCATGTCGGACAACCTCCTCGTATGTTCCAGCTATTGGGAGGTCCCCCATCCTCATGGATACGTTCGCATGAGTCGGTGACATCCCATATTCCGGTGCGTCTTCCCCACGGTGGGCGGAGGCAGGGGAACTGGGAAGAATTCTCCCCACACGTAGAGGAGGGCCTGCCTGCAGGCACCCGCCGCTGGGGTCAAGGTTGATTGCCTCTTCTTTTTATAACTTACAGCATCTTATTGCGGCACATATTGCGTCGAAATGTAATAAATGATTGTAGATTTCATTGTTAGGATGATATCCAGATTTATATTTCTGAAAATGCCGCTGCAAATACTGAGACTGCTTATAAACATCATAAGTATTTGGAGAAAATTGCTGACTGGTCTAGAGAAAAATGGGTTGTTATTAGTCCAGAACTCATAATATATGATTCTTGGGTCGTAGAAACATATTTATTGCTGACTGGTATATTGAATAAAACATTACAGTCAATATCTAGACACGCGGCAGCGTGTCAAGCCGAGTTTTAAGTAAACTGGCTTGCAGCACCGTGTGTATATTTACACGAACCATTTGGAGCCACTTTTGACCCCCTCATAACTCAAAAACTCTTTCACACAAACCTGTCAAATTTGGTTCATATATTGAGACTTGCGAGATAAATATGTGTTCCAAATTTCATAAACATATCTCAAACGGTTATTTAGATAGTAATGTCCAAAAATCGTCATTTTTATCACTGATCAACTATAGATCAAAATTATAACCCACTTCCAGATGACCTAGGAAGTTCAAATTTGGTATGCAGATAGGTAATTAGGTGAATATAAAGGAAAAAATCTGAAACTGGTAAATTGTTATCATTTTACTACAATTTTTCACTTTAATTGATTCTATTTCAACTTATACTGGACGAAGACTAAAATTCTATGAAAACGTCGATAGCCACCAATTGACATTGATCCCTGGCGAAAAATCTCATCTTGTACTGGACCGAAAGTAATATTGTATGAAAACGTCGATCATTACCAATTTACGTTGACCTCTTCACATCAGTGTCGATAACTAGCAAACTTCAAATATTGCATTGAGCGGTAAACACTCGTTGCTATAATTTAGATTCTGTCTAAAATATACTCGTACTTATAACTAGGAGTATAGTCGAATTTCGTATTTATTATGTTATTAACTGAGATTTGGTATTAATTATTGTTTCAATATTTAGCGCACATCGATAGTGTAAAATCATTATTTTTATAAATAATTATTAAATAATAGGCATTTCGGTATAGGGCGCCGCGGCGGCGCCGTGTGGGAGCGGTGCGATAAAACTCAATGTTTTGTTTCTGGATATCTAACCTATAAGGTTGCGATTTATGCTACGAAATTTATAGCTTTCTTAAATTATACTTATATATTTGTGATTATATTATTATTACATTATTTTAGTAAATACGTATGGTATAGACAATAGTTTAAACCAAAAATTAATAACAATTTTAGTATAGTTATAAGTAGGAATGTACAGTTAACTCGAGAATGAGAACTTATTGGTAACAAATTATTTTCTTGAGAATTCAATAGATAACAGTCAATTTGTTACATAATCGTCTTTACGAACTATAACGTGTCAATACGAAGTTTCAGATATTAAATAATGTATATGTTGATAGAGAACAATTCCGTATTTGCGTAACATATGCTATTACTATCCACAAATCACAAGGCCTTAGTTTTGGCAGGCCTCTTCTCAACATAGCCTCCTCTATATTTAATAAAGGGTAGGTTTACGTTGGACTCTTCAGAGTTAAAACCTTAGATGGAGTACGTCTTAACAATTTTGATCCAAGTCACGAGAGCTCTATTGTAGAGTACAACCATCTGTGGACGTTATACCGCCCCGATTTGCCAAAAATTCCTGATACTGAATTGGCATTGCACTTGAACATTTAAAAGTTACAAGAAAATATAGAAATTAACACAAAAAAAAGACAATTATACCCCGTAAATATACGAAAATACAGTAATTTATCAAAAATAATTTGGTATTAATTTAGTTATAAATAAGTACCTCGTATAATTTATGTACAAAAAGTAATGATATCCCATCAAAAACATAAATGTGAAATAATAGCCGAGTTTAATATTATGATATATGGCTTGATCGTTGACTTCTACGACAAAAGAGATGAGATCTAAATGGGTGCCAAGTTCAATGGTCTGTCCTGAAATGTATTTATAACAATATAAAATATCATTTCGTCTTATAACTTAGGATAATATACTGTAGCCTAAGGTCTAACTTGGCTAGTTTTCATATACGAAATATACTGTAGCCTTCGCAAGTTCTAAACATGTTACTTGTCGGTTCCTATTTTAATATTAATAGTAACTAGCAATCGAAAGTAATAATTGGTATATGAGAACTGGCCAAGTTAGACCTTAGGCTACAGTATATTATCATAAGTTATAAGAAGAAATGATATTTTATATTGTTATAAATACATTTCAGGACAGACCATTGAACTTGGCACCCATTTAGATCTCATCTCTTTTGTCGTAGAAGTCAACGATCAAGCCATATATCATAATATTAAACTCGGCTATTATTTCACATTTATGTTTTTGATGGGATTTTAGATTACAATATAGAACACTTTGAAGAAGCACGTAATTTGGAGGCAATATTTGACAGCAAATTGCGATTTGAAAAACCCATCTTAAATGCAGTACAGCAATGTCTTTATTGCCTTAACATTCTATAGAAAACTCATAACTTATTAACATAGAGTTCGTACTAGTACTACACTATGCGAACCATTATTTTTGTTAAATTCAACGATGCAATCATTGTATATTTTATATACTACTGTTGGGTCCAACATCTAATCGTCCGAAATGCATGATGACACAAACTTGTTAATTTTAGTTCGTCTATATTTACAAAATGTAATTGTCTGTGTGATTTGTAACAATAAACAATATATTATTTATCAAAATATCTTTTCATGTTTCTTTGCGAAGTAAGTTGATGATGTGAATTAATTAATGATGATGATGTTGATTTGTTGTAATACAATTGAGCTTTTTGCCAGTTCTTCTCAATTGAATCTATATACTGAACTGGACGGTAGGGAATAAAATATAATATAAAAAATTTTACGTTCATAAGCGGCTAAAATGTCCTACACGAGTAAATGATTATTAACCGGGTCTTAAAACCAATAATTTTATGGCAAATAAAGGTATTTAGCTCTCTCGAATCGACGGATACCGTGAGTGCTGTGTGTCGCGAACTTTCGTTGAACAATCTAGTGACGGTAGATGAAAAAACTGCTGTCACCTATCTACATTGACATCGCTGTTACTCCAGTCAGCTCGTGACCACGGCTAGTGCGACCTAGTCGAAACGTCAAGAAAGGAAAATACCTTTACTCGCCCTAAATATTCGTATTAAGACCCGGTTAATAATTTAAATAATGATTAAATGATTTTTGAATTTGAAATTAAAAATTGATGTTATGTCGGAAATGATCAGCTGAATGAATTAGGAACTTAAATAAAACAATGTTCAACATCGTACAGTTTTATTTCAATTGTTGATAAAAATAATAGTCAGTGTTCGCGACACCGCTAAGTATTTCCACATCGAGCTGCACAAATGAAACGCGCCATATTGTCCAACAGTTTTATTACTATTTATACACATGTTCTGTTTCAGTTACAGTCCGCGCCCGCCGCCGTCGGCCGGGCCCGGCTCACTGCACATATCATTCTATACTCTTAATTTAAACCGAGCGTAACTCTCAATCTATACAACTCATAAATATAACAAATACATACAATTAATTAATAATGTACACAAACAAACAAAATATTTGGGTGCCCAGCGAGCCGCGCAGCACGCCCGCACACTACACACACGCACACACGCACACAGACAGACACACGCGCACGCAGTCACACGCCCATACATAGCACCGCCAACGTATTTTTCATCCCGTCCAATCGAGATTTAATTATAAATTTAGAGTCTTATATATACCTACCGCAATCTAATGTAACAATTTAAAAATAATAGATTTAAATCACAATGTCATAATAATTTCACTCTGTAATGCAACGGTTATACGAAACAGCCTACGTACTCCTACTGACTATAATCTCACTCCCTGTATTGGAACAATACATGTCTTTTGCGGCGACCGCGAGTGGGGGTCGGCGCGGACAGTGAGCGCGACACACTCTATACTCCATCAATAATACCAAAATGTAATATCCGTGCCGGGACACACGGTCCGCGCGGACGCGCACGACTTACACAAAGAAACAAATACAACAAACTCGATGCGAGCAGCACCCGGGGCTTCGTTACACGCTCGCTCGACAACAATTCTCGTTTCAACTACTGGACTAATAGTCATTTGACTGTTCTGGACAATATGAAGCTGAGTTGAGAAAAAATACGAGCTGAGTTTCTTGTCAGTTCTTCTCACCTCGAAATCATTCCGAACTGACGGTAGATTTGACATATCATAAGAATCTGTAATAGATCTACATGAATAAAGATATTTTGATTTTGAATTTGACTGTTCTGGACGATCATGTACCATTTGAGAGTCATCGGAATACTTATTTATTGATTTATTTGCATTCCGTAGTGTTACAACGATGGTTGACATAACATTATTATAAGAGCAGTGGCTTTAATAGATTTTAATTATTTTGTATATTACTACTAGCTACTCGCCCCGGCTTCGCCCGGGTGTACATGTATTATACATATAAACCTTCCTCTTGAATCACTATATCTATTAAAAAAAACCGTTTCAAAATCCTTTGTGTAGTTTTAAAGATTTAAGCATACATAGGGACAGACAGCGACAGCGACTTTATTTTATACTATGTAATGATTTTTATACTGATTTTATAATAATAATAATAATAATCTCAGGACAATTCACACAGCGCCATCTAGACTCAAGTTAATCTACGTTTATAAGTTATACGTTTATAATTCATAAGTTATCTGTCAAATATTCGTAATATCGTTACATAGTATATTATATAATAAAATAAACTCGCTGTCGCTGTCTGTCCGTCGTTATGTATGCTCACACCTTTAAAACTACGCAACGGATTTTGAAGCGGTTTTTTTATTGGATAGAATGATTCAATAAGACGGTCTATATATAGTTATTAAATAGAAAAATGACATTTTTCAAAATTAGAAGCTAGAATTGTCTCCTTTTATATAAATCAATTAAATTAACCACGCCGTCTTAATCATTATCTAAATACTTTTAAAATGATATATAATACTTTTGTTTAAATTTTTGTTAAAACTTTAAAGGAAAAATATAATTTAAATAAATTCAAAAACTATATACACTTGTCTTGTAAAAAATGTACATTTTGAATAGTGACATTTTTCTATTTAACCGACGATATATATTACATGTACACCCGTGCGAAGTCGGGGCGAGAGCTAGTACAAATATAAACAGTTTCAACTGGGAATTGTTACCGATCGCGTCCCGCAACGGAGCCCCTGACATAACACAGCGGCATCACATTCACACGTCGACAAGTGAAACTATTTTGACAACACCTCGCGCCACATACTACATTCATCACCATACTTTTCGCCACTGTTGACTCGAAAAACTATTTTCAATGTATTGCATTAACTATGGTTCTGATCACTTCAAATTTGATTACAAAATAAATAAAGTTTCTATCGATAGAAACGAATCGAAATGGCGTAAAGTATGCTTCGGATCGAAAACATGTAAAATAAAATTACACGTGTGCGCTCGCAGCGCACTCGATATATTTAAAACATAAAAAATACATTTTTAATAAAACTCAATATGTAAATTAAATATGTTTATGTAACAACATGGTTTACGAATATAAAAACAAGCTCGACTCGGAGTCGAGGGCGAGGTGAGGATTATAGTGGCCACCGCGCGACCACTCCCTATGTACAGCTCGCACCGTGACGAGCGGGGCCGCTCACCACGTTCACCACGCTCGCACACTCACCACGCTCACCACACTCGTCACGCTCACCACGCTCGTCACACTCGCCACACCGAGCCGGCCGCGAGCGCGGGCTCGACCGATCGCATAATTTCCAGCTCTCACATCACAGGAACTCAAACGAATACACAACTTTACAACATAATACTTGATGAATTCGTCGACCGTTCGAATTTTGAATCTCTTAGAAGGACGCGCCGCGGTGCGGTCGGCGGCCGAACGCTCGCAGGCGAGGCCGGGCGGCGCGCCTATGTGCGGGTGGCGAGCCCGGAGGCGGCGCCGGGCGGCACGTCGGTGGCGGCGGCGGCCAGGCGCAGCGCCGCGCACGCCAGCGGAGGACCCACCGGCGACGGGCCCTCCTCGGGGGACTCCGTCTGTCGGGGAACGGGCCGTGAACTACTGACATGCACCTCACCCACTCGTCCGAATCCAGGTATCCGGAAACTTCCCTCTGCGTCGTGTGCCCATCAGCAAGATAAGTCACTAAGTTTCGGTCTGAATATGTTTAAATCGTTGCCGATGTATATTACGTACATGATAGAAAAGCTCGAGCCAGCAGATGATAATGGCGTTCGTGGAGAATGCGTGTAAATTGGTATTGACGACATGTATAAAAAAAGTCTAGAATTTTCTAATTCTTTTTCAGAAGATTCTAGAGAGATATAGCTGGCATATCTCTCGCTCCCATTTCGATCGCATATAAATTATCCACTTAGCCATTTTTAGATTTGCTTCGGAAGGAGTGTTTCGGTTCGAAGAGACATGACAAGGTACAAAAGTATGACACCTCAATCCTCCGAAGCAGCGATGTATAATAATATAATAATCTCAGGACAATTCACACAGCGCCATCTACACCCAAGTTAAGCCAGCTATAAAGCTTGTGTTATGGGTACTAGACAACTGATACAAGTACATAGATATGTTATTTTCCTAAATATCTCATCTCTTTCTCATATTATACATAGTAAACACCCAGACCTAACGATCATACTCATGAATGCAAAAGTTCGTGCCGTGCGAGGAGTCGAACCCGCGACCGTCGGACGTCGTCCTGTATGCGTACGAGGCGAACTATAGTATGGTAATAATAATAAGGTGTACCGACCCCGGCGAGCGCGTGCTTGAAGGTCTCGTAGGTGAGCCAGCAGATGGCGGCGGCGGGCATCTGGTAGAGCACGCGCGCCTGCACGCCCTTGAAGAACCCGAGCGGGCCGCGCGCGCGCAGCACGTGCGCCGCCGCCTCCAGCAGCCCGTCCGCGCGCGCAGCCGCCTCCTGACACCACACACCAGTGCTCAACGACCGGTCGCACCACACGCAGTGGTCACAACCAGTCGCACCACACGCAATGCTCAACGACCGGACGCACCGCACGCAGTGGTCACGACCAGTCGCACCACACGTACGACTAGTCGTGACCACTGCGTCTGCACTGGTCGGTCTGAGAACGACGAGCACACTCATTTATTATTCAACAGTTTAGTCAAGTTTACAGTTTTACTTGTCAATATGCTTTTAGTGTTTCGGTATAACCCGATACTTTGATACAGTGCAATTTATCGTCAACAATCGGTTCATTGAATTGCATTCATATCATATATTTCTTTACACGATACATAAATGCGGTTTAGTAACATGCACACTTCACCTGGCGCTGTAAATAGACGCAATGGACGGTGTTGCCGACGTACCTGCGTGTTGAACATTGTGTTGCAGACGTACCTGCGTGTTGAGCACTGTATTGCAGACGTGCCTGCGTTTTGAGCACTGTATTGCAGACGTATTTGCGTGTTGAGCATGATCTTACAGATGTATCTGCATATTGAATACGGTCTTGCAGACGTACCTGCGTGATGAGCACGATATTGCAGACATACTTGCGAGTTGAGCACGGTGTCACAGACGTACCTGCGTGTTGGGCACGGTCCTGCAGACATACCTGCGTGTTGAGCACGGTCCTGCAGACATACATGCGTGTTTAGCACGGTCCTGCAGACATATATGCGTGTTGAGCACGGTCCTGCAGATATACCTGCGTGTTGAGCACGGTCCTGCAGACATACCTGCGTGTTGACCACGGTCCTGCAGACATACCTGCGTGTTGAGCACGGTCCTGCAGACATACCTGCGTGTTGAGCACGGTCCTGCAGACATACCTGCGTGTTGAGCACGGTCTTGCAGACGTCGAGGGGCGTAGTGGCGGCGGCGGCCAGGGCTCCGGCGGCGGCCCCCGAGCACGCGTGCACGCGGGGGTCGTACGAGCGCGAGGGGTTCAGCGTCGCCTGACACCACTCGTACGTCACGAAGTGCAGCGCCTGCGACCACACCAACCCCACGAATTCAATACTGTCAACTTCATTACAGGATTTTTTATTGTGCCGCTACATTCCGCATGCAGATTTAACTTCCAAACATTGTATGTTCATAAAATTAATATATTATTGTAGAAATAAATAATGTATTCTCAATTCTCACTTTACGAATCGTGACTGTATGACACGCCAGTTGGACCGTAATGCCGTCAAGTTTTATGGATTTGAAAATATGTAGATAGAAAATGTTGAGCACTCGTTGTTTTTTTTAATGGCTGGTATGGCGCATCGCATAATGACGCATTCGCCTGCGCTTACAGTTTACGTTGGCAGGGCGCCAGTGAGTATGAGGTCAGGTCAGTTAGCCCATAGTGGTAAATTCACCAACATTACTAACAATCCCTTTTTTCAGCACTTGTTTGTGTGTAGCGTGTCGCTGTGTATATGTGGCGGTTTGTTGTGTGGTGGTGTGGTGTTGTGGCGGTACGGTGGTGTGGTGGTGTGGCGGTGTAGTGATGTGGTGATGTGGCGGTGTGTGATAGTGTGTGGTCAGGTGGTACGCGGTGTGTTACTCACTGTGTAGGGCACGTTCATGGCGACCTGCGTGCCGTACGAGCGGTAGAAGGCGCGCAGCCCCTCCGCGCGGTACACGTGCCGCGCGCACTCCCACACGCCCCTGTACGGAGAGTTCAACATCTGCAGACGCTGCTTCACCACTGCAAGTATCACAACACAACTAATTGTTATTACAACTTCATATAACAATATCTCAGCACAATTCTGCATGTGAGGACTAGTCAGTTCAGGTTACAAACACTGATTAGACTTTTTGCTTTTGCAATAGCACATGCTGGTGGTCACTCTATTCTCCCAAATATTAATTTAAAAATGTATCTGTATTATTGTAAACATGTATAACATTTATTTGAAAAGTATACGAGCTGAGTTTCTTGTCAGTTCTTCTCATCTCGAAATCATTCCGAACTGACGGTAGATTTGACATATCATAGGAGTCTGTAATAGACCTACATGAATAAAGATATAGTGAATTTTGAATTCACACAGCGCCATCTAGTCCCACGCTAAGCAGAGCTTGTGTTATGGGCACTAGACAAGTGATATAAATACACAAATACATTTTTTTTTGTAAATACATATATATTATACATAGAAAACACCCAGACCGATACAAATGTTTGTTCCGTACTTGGTACTTCTGATAGTCGCGGGTTCGATTCCGCGCACGGTGCAAACATTTGTATTCATGGGTATGATTGTTTGTGTCGGTCTGGGTGTTTTCTATGTATAATATGTATGTATTTACAAAAAAAAAATAAGTATTTATATCAGTTGTATTTGTATTTGTGTGTTTATATCACTTGTCTAGTGCCCATAACACAAGCTCTGCTTACCGTGGGACTAGATGGCGTTGTGTTAATTGTCCAGGGTTATTATTATTATTATATATTACTCGACATTGTACAAATATAGTGCGATACGGTATAGAGATAGACAGCGATGTATGTGGGACAACTAGCTTTTATCACTATCTCCGGTGCCTGTTTACATATGATACATAGTGATGCATACTTCATATCTGTGTTAATGATTGAACCGTAACTTGTTAACAAGCACTTATTAATATAAGTGCTATAATTGCAATATTTGTTTGACACTCGAGTGGCACACACCCGAACCTGTGCCCGCGCCTGCACCCTACCATACTACTGTGGCACTGGGTACAGTTGCCTCTCCGATCGAACCCCCGTTCAATTCAAACGGGGTTCATAATTACGACAGTCTAAACCGAGGTTCGAACCCCTAGCGGTCCCCTCAGACAAAGTTATATCCGTCAGGCGGGAGTTGGCCTTCAGCCGCTCCGTAAGTCCTTACTTTGGTTTGGAGTGCAATAAAAATTTAAGTAGGCACTAATATCGTTATTAAAAAGGGGTTGGTGGTAGAAGGGTGAAAATTTAAGGTTGCATGTAATTTTTAATGCCACATAAAAAAAAATAATAATAAAAATTCTTGTCAATAGAATGAAAAAAACAACTTTTTGGGGTGAGCCACCCTTAACCATTTGGGGTATAACAATTAGTTACAAATCTATTCTCAGACTGAATATACACATAAAACTTCAATAAAATCGGTCAAGCCGTTTCGTAGGAGTATAAGCACGAAACGTGTGACACGAGAATTTTATATATTAGATTAAACTGTAAATCTATAGATCCATCTCAATAAAATCCCTACTATGTCTATAAATAGAGCTACATATGTACAACTACTACCGACTGCAATTATAAACTGACAATTGTCTATTTTGAATGTCTCCTCAATGTGTCACCACTTGCCATATAACAAACAAACCGCAAGAACCACACTTTATTGTAATAAATACACATGTATTGAAATATTATAGTCTAGCTGTACTCGCGAAGTAAAACTAGCCTAAGTTACTACTTATTACATCAGCTACCTGCCAATAAAAGTCCCGTCAAAATAGCTCCAGCCATTTCTGACATTAACCGGAACAAACAGACAGACAGACAAAAATGGAAAAAAAATTTTGGTGTATGTACCGTATTTATATTCATACGCATGTAGTAAAAAACGGTTGTTTCAATATTACAAACAGACACTCCAATTGTATTTACATATATGTATGAATAGATATCGGCTGCTATGCACATATCAGTGTTACATACGATAACAAAGTATAGTACTATGACAATAAGTGAAATAATACAGAAATGGTAATATACTCGTATATGTATGTTACATAGTGGAGTCGGTGTGAGAATAACAAAAACACGACATGCGACAGATGCGCTCACCACTACAAATAACTATTGTTCTTTTATCTACAACTACCTACTCGCCCCGGCTTCGCACGGGTGTACATGTATTATACATATAAACCTTCCTCTTGAATCACTCTATCTATTAAAAAATCCGCTTCAAAATCCGTTGCGTAGTTTTAAAGATTTAAGCATACATAGGGACGGACAGACAGCGACAGCGACTTTGTTTTATACTATGTAATGATATATATTACTAGCTGTCCCGCGAAACTTCGTCTGCGTTTAATTTCTCCGCCTTGCGCAATATTTTTCATTGCAGCTCCGCTCCTATTGGTCGTAGCGTAATGTTATATAGTTTTTTAAAGCCTTCCTCGAGAAATGGACTATTCAATACAAAAATAATTTTTCAATGCGAACTAGGACTTTCTGAGTTTAGTTTATAATTTAGTTTATAATTGCTTGTATACAGTACAAGAGCTGCTGCTGTTTCGTATATGCAAGTCAGTTATCACTTGTTCACAATAAATCAACTTAACATCAAGGTGTCGCGTATCAAATACGTCGCTATCTGGACGCTGTGTACACTGCAGTAAGCAGTCATTACATACAATTTATCAGCAACTAGGTACTCGCCCCGGCTTCGCCCGGCTGTACATGTATTATACATATAAACCTTCCTCTTGAATCACTCTATCTATTAAAAAACAGCCTCAAAATCCATTGAGTAGTTTTAAAGATTTAAGCATACATAGGGACAGACAGCGACAGCGACTTTGTTTTATACTATGTAATGATAGGAAAAAAAAGTTTTTTTTTTAAACTCCAATGCTGTTGGGTAAACTAGAGGAAGAACTTGTGGAGCGGCTAAAGGTCAACTCCCGCCTGACGGATACGACTTTAATCTGACGGCACCGTTAGGGGTTCGAACCTCGGCTCAGGCCGTCGTAATTTACTTTCTCCTTTTGAATTGGACGGGGAGGTTAATGAGACAGTCTCCTCACAGGACATATCTCTCCACAGATACCCATAACAATTTAGTTGTACCAGTAGATACCTATGTAATATTAGTGATGCTGTTCCGTATATGCGAATCCGTTATCAAATTCACAATAAATCAAATTAACATCAAGGTTTAGCTATCTGGGCGCCGTGTACACTGCAGTAAGCAGTCGTTACATACAATTTATCAGCAATAATAACATTGTACAAACAGTGACAATATGCAAAATACATTACACATTACGTGCTGGATGATAACGGCACAGACAAACAATATACAGATAATACGACGTCCAATTGAAAAACAATCCACTCGCGGCATTCTGATCCCTACATACTGACACACCGTCGGTTGAATAGAAAAATGGCACTATTCAAAATGTACATTCTTTACAAGACAAGTATTTAAAGTTTTTAAATTTATATAAATCATTTTTCCTTTAAAGTTTTAAATTTACACATCATTTTCAAAGTATTTAGATAATGATTAAGACGGCGTGGTTAATTTAATTTACTTACATAAAAGGAGGCAATTCTAGCTTCTAATTATAGAAAAATGTCATTTTTTTATTTCATATAAAATCAAGTTTCTTTTGAAGAGAATGAGAATGTTCGATGTTACATCAACATTTCTATACGAAGCATAAATATAGTAATATACTATTGCAGTGTATGTCTGGCTGTGCCAGCTATATATAATAATTAATGCAATCTTTAGCCTACAACGATCTGATTATAATTGTAAACGTGGTCGCCACTAGTATGTCGCTCGCGACAAGCAGGGGCGCGCCGACCGCATACAGCGCCTGTGTACGAAACCTATCCTAAAAGTTGGTGTTGCTATTTGCTATAGTTTATGCTATTGAGTTGAATTAAATAAAAATAGAAAACAATAATTTCTTAAATATCTTTAATAGATGGCACATGGTCTGGAATAGTTATTACACCTGGTCCAGGACCAGACACTAATACTAAGCTGAGGTGCTAATTGCACGCCCACTACTTAAAATAGTCGTGACCTTAAACTCGGGTGATCGATAATAACTTTTGACATCGTCAATCTGTCTTCAGTCTGTCTGTCTGTCAGTCGGTGTGCGGTGTTTACTATGAACGCGGCGCGACCTTCACCATGACGTCATGTCACCACGCAGTTTGCAACATTCATATGTACCAATACAAAACATATTTAACACTAGCTGCACCTGCGACTTCGTCCGCGTGGAATTTAACTTTATTTCTTTATTTTTTGTAATAAATACACATGTAATGAAATATTATTGTGTAGCTGTACTCGCGACTTCGTCTGCGTGGAATTTAACTTTATTTTTCTAAAATAAAAGTAGCCTAAGTTACTCCTTATTACATCAGCTATCTGCTAAAAAAACTCCCGTCAAAATAGGTCCAGCCATTTCAGAGATTATCCGGAACAAACAGACAGATAGTCAAAAATTGTAAAAAAAATATTTTGGTGAATGTACCGTATTTATATTCATATGCATGTAGTTTATTTAAAAACGATTATTTCATTATTACAAACAGACACTGCAATTTTATTTATTCTTTGCATCTAGAGACTGGACGTTTCGCTCTGCGAGCATTACTGCAGATGGCATCGCCGGAGTTTCCAGCGAGTCATCGCGCCGCGCCTCCTGTACCATGTATATTGTATATACTCGACACTTCCCGTGTTTAGACAACCAGTGCACGTTTTCCTCATATCAACAGATCCACCGTGTTATTGTTTACTTGGACGCCCGCACAATCGCAGGACGAGTGCCCTGAGAACTACACTGTATCCACTACTCTTCCGCCCTCACTACATTTTCCTGTACCTATACGTAATAAATAGTAGGTTATCAAAATAAAGATAAACACAATAAATCAAATCAGGGCTTATTTATTAATCATTTTACGGTGACACGCTACATTCGTTTAAATTACGTAAGTGTACATAGACACACACACACTCGCAGTTCGTTTTTCATTTGATTGGTGTCAACTGCACGATGGTTATTTCGTCATGATATGCATCCTCTATGATAAGACTGGAGCGTGCTGCGGCGCGGCCACAGATTGTGGTTTCTCGTTACAAGTGGAGAAGGATATGCTCGGAGTTTCTCTACATTTGCAAATCAGAAATGGAGATCCGTAGAAGAACCAGAGTGACCGACATTGCCCGAAGAATTGTGACACTGAAGTGGCAATGGGCAGGGCACATAACATAGCTCGTAGGACAGATGGCCGTTGCGGCAGTAAAGTCCTCGAGTAGCAACCGCGGACCGTAAGACGCAGTGGGAAGATCTCCAGCAAGGTGGACCGACGATCTGGTCAAGATCGCTGGAAAGCATTGGATGCGAGCAGCGCAGGTCCGATCGTCGTGGAGATCTTTGGGGGAGGTCTTTGTTCAGCAGTGGACGTCTTCCAAGCTGAGATGATGATGATGTTACCAGTGTCTCTTCAGTTTCACTGGGACATTTAATGAGACTACTTGCGATTCCATAAAACTTTTAGTCGTGACAATGGCGAGTTTTTTTCCCGTACTACTCTAATGCTGTTGGCCGCAGCTGGCCTTTACGGCTTCACCGGACTATAGGGGGCGAGTGCAGATGGCACTCCAAACCCGCGGATGGACTTATAGAGCGGCTGAGGGTCAACTCCCGCCTGACGGATACGACTTTAGTCTGAGGACACCGCTAGGGGTTCAGACTTTGGCTCAGGCCGTCGTAATATCGATCCCCGTTTGAATTGGACTATCGATCGACCGGAGGAGTACAATGGCGAGTGGCTGCTCATGGCATATAAATTATAACGATTACGTGGCAAGCACGTGGTTATCTCGTCGCCGACCGATGGCACGTGGTAATTACTAGTATTTACCGACTGACCCGGCGTCCGTAGCGACGTACAGACACACAGACGAGAACACAGTACCACAGCGACTGTAATTTGTTTTATTGGATAATAATGAGTAAGCGCTAGATGCAGCAGGATGCATTACGTGTCCTGTCACACATACACACACACAAATGTAAATAATAATGCTACGGAGATTATTCCAAGAAGCATGTTCATCATATGAGGAAAATAATGCCACATTATGTAGAACACACGGCTATTTGATATATTTTATTAAAAACTGATAAATCACTACGACTGGGTGTTTCAAGTTGTTTTAAACATGCGGATATTATACACATGTGAATATGTACACATGCGAGTCGTTGTGGCCTGTCAACATCGCATCGCAGCTGATGGTGCTCCCATCTATAACCAGGCTCATATTATATATATCATGCCTAATCCTTGTTAATGTAAATTAAAACAATATTTATTTAATAGTTCAAACACAAGTTTCTTGCTCGTTCTTCTTGTGATGAGTCTGCATTCCGAATGAGCGGTAGAATAAAAAAAATTGACTCCAAAACAAAGGATGGACTTATGGAGCGGCTGAAGACGGATACGACTTCAGTCTGAGGGCACCGCTAGGGGTTCGAACCTCGGGTCAGGCCGTCGTAATATCGATCCCCGTTTGAATTGGACGGGGTCGATAGATCGAATTCATCGGAGGGGTCGTATGTACCTACCTAACAAGTCCTAGAGGGGGGAAGGGGATTGTTAGTAATGTGGACTCATGACCCCATTACTAGGAATGTACCATGTCAGGTTGACCTCCACGCGATTCCCCCTAGAAACCATCGTGATAAATTCCTCGTAAATTTGTCACGATGGGCTAACTGACCTGACTCATGTTCATCTTATCATCCTCCACTGGTGCCCCGCCAGAGTAGACCGTTAGCGCAGGCGGGTGCACCATTCCAATATCATCCATAAAAAAAACATGTCCTACAATACACGCAGGCTCTACAAAAACTGCTACTTATAGAGTATGCCTCTAGAATAATAAATTTTATGACTAATATACATTGTTAATCTCTGGTATTGACTTGTACATTGCAGCCTGCAAGTTACATATATATCAACGACCTCGGTGATGTAGCGATTTAGCACACCGCTTTACGACCGATGGTCGCGGGTTCGATGCCTCGTACTGCACAAACATTTGTATTCATGAGTATGATTGTTTGTTGAAAAAATCTATGTGTTTGTATCAGTTATCTATTACCCATAACACAGGCTTTAGCTAGCTTAACTTGGGTCTAGATTGCGCTGTGTGAATTGTCCTGATATTATTATTATCATCATTACATAGTATAAAACAAAGTCGCTGTCGCTGTTTATCGGTCCTTATGTATGCTTAAATCTTTAAAACTACGCAACGGATTTTGAAGCGCATTTTTAAATACATAGAGTGATTCAAGAGAAACGTTTATATATATAATACATGTACAACCGTGCGAAGCCGGGGCGAGTAACTAGTTATTACATATAACAATGATATTATTAGGTGAGGATGCGTCATACGATGTTGCGAATCCACACAAATCTTTGAATGCCGTCACTTCTTTGTACCCCAATCAGGCGCTAAACATGCTCATATTGAATTGAAGGTCACTCACAGTCGGACCGTACAACGCTACAATCATCAGCCAAGATTACTCAATGTGACCAGCTCCAAGCGGCACCACCGACCGATCAACCAACCATCCACTCACACCCACACTCTGACATTTTGTGTAACATATTATAATAATAATAATAATGTACATTTATTTGGCAAAAAAGTCAACATTAGCATACCTACATTCAATTAATTTTGCAAACTAATAAAATAACTTTTTCTAAATATTAAGTACTAGCTGTACCCGCGACTTCGTCCGCGTAAAATAGTGACCTTGAGCAAATAATAAAAAATATATAATGAAATTTCCATACATAATTCCATACAATTCAATCAACAGCCAAAAACTAAGTTTCAAACTACTATCTTTAAAATGAAGATACTTCCATACATACCATACTTACATTACATCTCCCCTTTCAACCCCTTATAACCCTTTTTCTTGTTTTTTTTAATGCTACTTATATTAGTGTCATCGTGTACCAATGATAAGATGTCGCTATACTGTAACCATTTATGGCTGAGTCCTGTGGCGGTAGGTACTGATATTTTCTCAACAGCCTAAAAAATGGGTTTCAAGTTTCTAGCTTTAAAAAATGACAATACATGCATACAACATTTTAACTCCCCTTTTGACCCTTACAACCCATTTTCGTTAATTATATTTAATCAATACGCAAAAAAATAAGATTGAAGCTTAAACTTTTAAAAAATTCCTCTTTCAGTCTCTTATAACCCTTTTTAGCATTAAAAAGTAACCTATGTCCTATCTCAAGATCTAGACTTTAAATTTCATTTAAATCAGTTCAGAAGTTTTGGCTTTTAAGACAGACAGACAGAGTCACTTTCACTTTAATAATATTAGTAAGGTATTTATTAAATAAACTGACCCAAAAAAGCGTAAGAAAAAAGCTTCATCGTTCTAGCTTCAAATATGACGAAATTTTATTTTGACGAAATTTTGTTAAATCAAAATAATAGATGTGATAGTCTAAATTGCAAACTATCCCTCTACTTGCGCGAACCATATCTCTGACTCTACTGGCCAGAATGGAGAAACGCGTATTCCGAACCTGAATAGCTCGGATGGAACGGTAGATGTTGTTTCTTCCAAGGAAATGTTGTTCATATGTATTGACAACATTTTCAATATTATATGTTGTTTTATTCTTCAAAAATATTAATAATATGTTCTTACGCTCTTGTCCAAGAGCAGGGTCATCAGTTATAGGCTATACCAGGATTATATTTATGTATTTATAAAATAAAATTGCAGAGCAAACGTTTGTTCATTTAAATTCATAAGGAGACAACGGATTGACAATAATCAGTTGCGCGCGCAACTTATACAAATGACATATATGTTTATTTATGACATATGAGCGTTAATAAGTCGCATATCTAGTACAATACTGGTGTAATTCAGAAATTAAAAAATTTTGAAAATAGACTTAATAACACAATTATAAAGTAGACTTTCCAAAATATCTAATTTTTTAGTTAAGCCATTATTATAATAAGTGTGTATTCAACCGCATAAAGATAACCTTGCATTACCATTTTCAACCCCTTACAACCCTTTTTTCGCATTAAAAAGTAGCCTATGTCCTTCCTCGGCGTCTAGACTATATGGGTACCAAATTTCATTTAAATCAGTTCAGTAGTTTTGGCGTGAAAGCGAGACAGACAGACAGACAGACAGACAGAGTTACTTTCGCATTTATAATATTAGTAAGGATTTGGATACTCGAACAGTTACATTCTATTATATATCGCTGTCATTTTCTTTTATCTCTATTTTTCATCATAAAACCCTCGGTACCTGTCACTCATCAGACACATCAGATACCTCCGCTTTACGATGTCAATGATGGAAACGACGGCGGGCACCAATTATTTGAAAAAAAAAATATTTTTCTGAGAAAAATGTTAGAATAGAATAGAATTTATTAACTCGTTTTATACAGTAATAACTTAAAAAGTACAAGGAATAATTTACACATTAAAAAAACAGAGTCAATGTGGACCACACACACTGAGCATAATGCTGGAAACAAAGTCTCCAGCGCTGATTTTCAGTTGGGGCCCACAGTACGGACGCACATATATTAGTTAGGGTAAATATGATATAAATATGTATATGTAATATGAGTATTGGAGCACTCACCTTCGGCCGGGTTGGAGACCGCATCGTGTACTAGCGACGCCACGCAGCCCGACAGACCTGCAACACATTCATACGACCCTGTCAGATCAAACTTCTGGCATCACTCACGTTGGAAACTCCAACAAACATAAGTGTTAAAACCTCTTTCATAATTTACTCATCATATTCAAAGTGTTCTATACATTACGACTAGCTTTTACCCGCGGCTTCGCTCGCGTTAATTTATGCCCTTAGGGGTGGAATTTATCAAAATCCTTTCTTAGGGGATGCCTACGTCATAGTAGCTATATGCATGCAAAGTCTCAGCCCGATCGGTTTAAAATTTAATTAAAATCTCTAATAATAATAAATAATCTAAATAAAATTAGAAAAATAAACTTAAATTCCACGCGGACGAAGTCGCGTGTACAGCTAGTCTAAACTAAAACTAAAGAACTTTATAATTTATCAAAAGAAAAAAAAAATCTATAATGTATCTTAAACGTATAATAATAAAGACTATTATTGTCTGCAAACCTACCCCGTGGTAGCGGGCCACGTGGTCGGTATTGGCCGGTGTGACATGTGTGACGGCCGTGTGAAACGTACAAGTGTCCTCAGTCATTATTTATAACTAACAGTGCGGGGGGACAGAGATTGTTAGTAATGGGGAAATAACCCCATTGCTAACAATGTACCATGTTGACCTCTACTTGGTTCCCCTGGAACCTCTCGGTTACTTATAAAATTTTCGGTAAATGTGTCACGATGTGCTAACTGTCCTGTCCTCATGTTCTTCTGATCATCCTCCACTGATGCCCCGCCAGCGTAAACAGCGTAAGCGGGTGCACCATACCGTTATCATCCATAAAAAATACTAACACAGTGTAATTAGTGAATCCAGAGAGAGATTTGTTACATTCTTGTACTCGTTTAATAATAATAAGTGTGTTTATTAATAATAATAATAATCTCAGGACAATTCACACAGCGCCATCTAGACCCAAGTTAAGCTAGCTAAAGCTTGTGTTATGGGTACTAGACAACTGATACATATACATAGATTTTTTTTTTTCGTAAATATATACATATATAACACCCAGACCGATACAAACAATCATACTCATGAATACAAATGTTTGTGCCGTGCGAGGAATCGAACCCGCGACCATCGGTCGTAAAGCGGTGTGCTAAACCGCTAGAACACCGAGGTCGTCAAATTTTAAATCTAATGTTAGTAAAATCCTAGTTTTATTTTAATTTATTTTATTTTATTACAGTGTATGTAGTAGCACTACACTAACAGTGGTTACAAGTTATTACATCTTTGCCTAACAACTATACTAACAAAATGTTCTGTAATTGGTAGGTCAAATTTTTTCATCAATGTATTCAGAATGCTGTTGCCGAAAAAAAAACCGCCGATTTTTTTTTCGGATCATGGCATAAAAGTCATCTGTTCGTGCAAGAGCGAACATGGCAGAAAATTTATACTAATAATAATATTAATATTTATTCTTGATACACATTTACATTTTTAATTTACTGTAACTCTACACTACAGCATAGGGTTTTTCAAGAAGGGTATATTAAGTTTTCTTAAGGGTCGGCAACGCGCACGTGACACCCCTGGTGTATCAGGCGTCCATAGGCTACGGTAACCATTTACCATCAGATGGGCCGTATGCTTGATTGCCACCATCGTAGTATAAAAAAAACCACTAGGCTCGTAGGCCTGTATTGTAGAAACTGGAGTGACTTACAGTTGTGTACATTTTACATGTTTACCTTTTATTAATAGCTAATAGAAAAATGGAACTTGGGAGTGAAATGTAGGAAATAAATTTGTGGATGTATATGTAGGAAAAGGTATGAGCATTGGTGTGAATGACAGTGTGTATGTATGAATATATACAGGGTGTCACAGAACTCAATGTCAAGCCGGAACGGGGTGACAAGATAGGATGTAACCATCATGAGAAAAATCTGAAAAAAAAATCTATCACATGCAGTTTGAAAATTATGGACTCATATATTAATTAATTAATATATGAGCAACACACAAGTTTCTTACTCATACTTCTTGTGATGAGTCTGCATTCCGAATGAGCGGTAGAATCAAAAAAGTTGAGTTCAACTTTTTTAGTTTATTTGAATAAAATTATTTATATTTCTATTCCAATGGGCATTTAGAAAAAAACCTAGAAATTTAGTCAAACTGTAACCATTTTCCGGTTATTGTAGTTAATTTTTATTATTTATGTTAAGTTAAACTTTGGAACCGTAACTCTAAATAACATTTCTAGAACCACAGTCAAAAATAATGATACAATTGCCCCAAGTTTTCTAGAATTAACACTATTTGTTATTAGTTTCATTTGCAGAACTGTGTCTTAGCCGTAAGGTGGAAGTATTTGTTCTGTTCTGTCGTAATTTAGTTTCGTCAGCCAGCATTTTATAGTTTTTTTGACTTGATGCATGGATAATTTTGTAATTGTGCATTTCTTACTTATATACTAGCTGTCCCGGAAAACGTTGTTTTGCCTTAAAATAAAAAAAAAATTAGGGATGGACTACCCCTAACATTTAGGGGGCTGAATAATAGATGTTGGCCGATTCTCAGACTACTGAATACGCTCACAAAATTTCATGAGAATCAGTCAAGCCGTTTCGGGGGAGTATGGGAACGAAAACTGTGACACGAGAATTTTATATATAAGATGTACGGAAAACAGTGGCAAATGCTCGGCAAATGTTTGTAGTTGTCTGTACATCTGATTGGGGAGCTCCGAGATTACGTCATAGTTAGTAGTGAGGTTATAGTTAACACAAGGTCGGACCCCAGTTAAAAGTTGGCTGTATTAAAAATAACAACTGTCATATTGATAACTGTTTTTATGGAATTATGTAATACTACCACCACGACTGTTAAAATAGAATACATCGAATGTTACTTGCTGTAGATTGACAGCTTTCTATGACAGAATATTTACAGTCCATTAAGAACTTTAGTGTTTATAAAAAAACAATGAAATAAAAAACAAAATATATATTCGTACTTGTGAGTTTATGTACAAAATGTGTACATCATGTGTATGTGTGTGTGTGTGTGTGTGTGGGCGTGTGTTAGCCGTTCTCACCATGCGTGATGTGGTCGTGTCGGTGCCTGGTGAGCTGCGCGAGCGTGTGCTTGATGTGCTCGTAGGTGGCGAAGTAGCACGCGTGCGCCGGGCCCGCGCCCAGCACCACCGCAGACATACCCCGCACCGGCCTGCAACAACGCCAACACACTGTTACCACACCTCACGGAGAATTGACACTGATGTCCACATGTTACCAGCACCAGCACCAGCACCAGCACCAGCGCCATGCAAACAACAGAACACATGCGTGTGATGCATGTGGTAGGCACCCGTAACCTCGCACGCGTTGCCATTCTATTAAAACTAGTGTTCCTGTACTTGTGTCGTAAGTATTTTATTTACACACTTTTTCCAAATACAATATTCTAAAGATACCGACATGCAAACATATAAGTATGGCGATTATAAAAACGAAAGGCTATGTGAACTGAACCATCCTCATTGCTTCATCGTTCAGTGTTGCCACGCTGGCGGTAGCGGATACAGTCAGGGCAGAAAATCCACAAAAAAAAACCCCAACTTCAAGTACCAAGTATCTATACATATAAATTCAATTGGAGTGTCTGTTTGTAATATTGAAATAACAGTTTTTACTACATTCATATGAATATAAATATAGTACATACACCAAAATAACATTTTTTACAATTTTTGTTTGTCTATCTATATGTCTGTTTGTTTCAGCTAATCTCTGCAACGGCTGGACCGATTTTGATAGAACTTTTATTGGCAGGTAGCTGATGTAATAAGGAGTAAATTAAGCTACTTTTATTTTTGAAAAACAAAGTTAAATTCCACGCGGACGAAGTCGCGGGTGCAGCTAGTAAGTAATAAACATATTATAATTCTAATAATTTCTTACACGCCGTAATTACGTACTGAGTGTGATGATTCGTGTTATCTACAAAAAGCAAGGCCGCCTCCAAAGCAACGGCATCATTCTTATTTTCCTGTTTGTTTGTAAGACGTGTATATACTTTTAGACTGTGTCACTTGTACATATCTATACATATAAAAATCGATTGCTGTTCGTTAGTCTCGCTAGAACTCGAGAACGGCTGAACCGATTTTGCTAATTTTAGTCTTGAAATATTCGTGGAAGTCCAGGGAAGGTTTACACGGTGATAAAATATGAAGAAATTGCATGTAAAATAGTAAACACAACAATTTTATTTTCCCATACAAACTGCTGATACCTGTCAAACAGAATATTGGTGCGTTCAGAAATAACTTAAACTTAACTTAAAAAAACTTTTGACATATTTAAGTTTGAGGCGGAACTGTATTCGGCGGGTCAGATAGTATTTAAACATAAGCACCAATCAACTTGAACCTTGTACCTGCTGGTGTAACGTTTACATATAAAATTTACGAGATCGCCACTAGCGCTGTTAGATGTGTTAGTAAGTCATAATGCTCATGTGAAGACAATTAGATAATACTGGTGTAGTGCACCATGTAGTACACGTTGGACTGCTGTTTTAAGCGTCCAAAGGGTAACCGTTTACCATCAGTTTGGCCGTTTGTATGCCAGCATCGTAGTATAAAAAAACCACTGCACTGAACGGTCTCCGAATGGCATCCAAGTAACAGCTTTACGTGGACGCCATTCAGAGAGCTCCAGCTGAGTAGCGGACAGATCTCACCAGAGCACGGCACGCGGCCGTCGTATTGAATTGTTACAATATTTACTTTACTATGTCCTTGTATTTTTTTTTTACTAACTTAATTACCACTTACACTTCAATCAAATCAGATATGTATTTAAAAAAAAAAAGAAATAAAATAAAAATACAAATAATTTCTTAGAGTGTTCCAACAAATAATTGTATTAATTCAAATTCAAAATATTTTTATTCATTTAGGCCTATCACAGACTTATGATATATCAAATCTACCGTCAGTTCGGAATGATTTCGAGATGAGAAGAACTGACAAGAAACTCAGCTCGTTTTCTTTTCAAATAAATGTTGTACATGTTTACAATATTACAGATTCATTTTTAAATTCAAATTTGGGAGAATAGAGTGACCACCAGCATAATATATGCGGTATATAGTATACTAGCTGTACACGCGACTTCGTCCGCGTGGAGTTTAACTATATTATTCTAAAATAAAAGTAGCCTAAATTACTCATTATATGAACTACCTGCCAAGAGAAGCCCCGTTAAAATCGGTCCAGCCATTTCAGAGATTAGCAGGAACAAATAGGTAGACAGGCAAAAAGTTTTAAAAATGTTATTTTGGTGTATTTTCCGTATTTACATACATGCATGTTTATTACAATATTACACTAAAACTTTATTTATATTCAAATTAAAAAATCATTTATTCGTATAGGACATTTTAGCCGCTTGTTCATAAGCGGCTAAAATGTCCATATTTTTTTAGATCATAATTTTAATTTTTCCCTCCCGTCCTTTTCGGTATATAGATCCAATATGTATGTGTATAGATGTATATATATTAGGTAGTTACATAGTATCGAGTGGCGCCTAAGAGTTTCGATGGCCTCAAGGTCGCCGGATGTGTCACCTCACCAACTTATTCACCGCCTGGCCCGCTACTACACTGAACGCAAATATATTCCACTACTACTAAAAAACAAAATAGACCGATCCAATTTGTTACGCGTACATATGTATATGTACTCAATACGCAATTTGTTTGTACAAATTAAGTGAATGTCCAGTACGTTCGCACGGTGCCAATGAACTGGGTTACGAATAAGTTTAATTACACTCCATGTGGAATATATTTGCATGAATACGATACTAAAGTAAACGTCACGGCGCCGGGACCGGGACCTGCGGATCACGATATTTGTATCAACTGCCCTCCAAATTGCGATTTTCTAGAAACTTCTTGCCTCGCACAACCACATTGTGGAATCACCTTCCAGCAATGGTATTTCCGAACCGATACGTTATTGAAACCTTCAAGAAAAGAGCTTATTCCTTTTTAAAAGGCCGACAACGTACTTGCATTTCCCCTGGTGTTGCGGGTGCTCATGGGCGGCGGTAATCACTTGCCATCAGGTGAGCGCATGCTCGTTTGTGTCCTGTGTTATAGAAAAAAATACTGGCTCTTCCCGCAAACGTTGTTTTGCTATATAAATTAAATTCGCTATTAAAAAATAGGGGTTGGTGATAGAAGGGTGACAAGTCGTTTCGCAGGAGTATAAACACAAAACCTGTGATCTAGTGTCATCATTACATAGTATAAAACAAAGTCGCTGTCGCTGTCTGTCCGTCCCTATATTAAATCTTTAAAACTAATCAATTCAATTGATTTTGAAGTGGTTTTTTTAATAGATAGAGTGATTCAAGAGGATTTATATGTATAATACATGTACGTCCGGGCGAAGCTATTAGGCACATTGATTGAAGTAGAAAAAGTATAATCCATCACATTTAAAATAAGTATTGTTGCTAAGTAACAGTTTGTGTGTAACGTGCAACTGCAATTGGAACGAAATAAATTATATTTACAACTGTATACGTAATCCACTCAATATCTCTATCAGAAGCCGGGGCGAGTAGCTAGTCTAGTCTAATATATAAAATTCTCGATTTTATATACTATATATACTAGCTGATCCGCGCTACTTCGTCTGCATCACACTTACTTGACATTTATCATTATGGTTCGCCCAAATTACATATTTTTAAATATAGCCTGTCTCATTATGATGTATAAGATATATTACTGTAAGTTTAAGTTTCATCAAAATCAGTTCTTGCGTAAAAAAGTAACAAACACACATCCATCCATACTCACAAACATCCCTCGTTTATAATATTAGTAACATTTTATTATTTCTGTAATACATGTATGTGTAGAGAACCATTATGGTCGGATGGACGTGGATTCAAACGTGGACGTGGACTCTACCACCGTCGTGGGTTCGATTCCTCGCACGGCACAAAGAGTAATAATACATAATTCATGAGTATGATTGTTTGCATCGGTCTGGGTGTTTTCTATGTATAATATGTATGTATTTACAAAAAAAAATCTATGTATTTGTATCAGTTATGTAGTACCCATAACACAAGTTTCAGCTAGCTTAACTTGGGCCTAGATGGCGCTGTGTGAATTGTCGTGAGATTATTATTATTGGGTAATAATGATGTGTCCGCCATAGTATAGTAGTTACGCCGCCCCGGTCCGGCTGCGGCGCTGGCCTGTGTAAATACGATTATAAAAACCTATCCTCGCCTTCCACCTACATACAATGTACATCGTCTCTATTCAATTAGTAATTGATATTAACCTTGGAAAGTTTCTCCGCGGCGCCAATTATCCTCATAGATATAGTGCACAATGTACATACAGACTAGCAGGCCCGGCCACGCGTTGCTGTGACTAAGATTCTTGAATAAATAATAATAATAAAGTATGGCCTCGCGAATGAGAGGTTGCCGTACTATAAGTACGAGCCCCATCCGGTCCTCGAAAGCGACAGCGTCAGGCTCTACTGGGATCGATCCATCATCACGGACAGGACCGTTCTTGCGAACAAACCTGATATCGTGGTGATAGATCGGGCATTCTCGAGGGTGTTTTTGGTGGACATCACCATGCCGCATGACGAGAACCTCGTGAAAGCCGAAACTGAGAAAAAGAGAAAGTATCTCGACCTGGCTCACGAGGTGACCGAAATGTGGGGGGTGATGTCCACCGAAATCATTCCAATCGTTATGTCGGTGAACGGTCTTATCCCAACCAGTCTGGAACAACATCTCAGACGGTTGGGATTCCGGGGCGGCTCACTCCCGGGAAAGATGCAGAAAGCGGTGCTCTTAGATTCTGCCCGCATTAGAATAGAATAGAATAGAAAATCATTTATTCAAATAAACTTACATTGAAGCACTTTTGAATAGTCATCACATTTTTTTTAATCTACCGCTTGTTCGGAAAGCTGTCTCATCACAAGAAGAACGAGCAAGAAACTTGCGTGTTGCTCTTTTAAATAATTTTATTATTACTTTACATTTTTAAGTTTAAGTGTGTGAATACAAACCACCAATTAGAACTAATTCAATTAAATACTCAAAAAGAAAAAATATTGAATACATAACCAACTGGTTAAACAATTAATAAGAGGAAATCAGTCATAGTAA